GCCAGGGTTGGTCCCCTCTCCTTCGTCTGAGGTTTCCAGACTACTCCCTGGAGGGGTCTCAGTCTCTTGGAGGGTGAGGTGGGGGCTTGGAGCATTGTTTCCCCGCTTCAGCCAGAGCAGCGTGTGCTCTGTTTTATGTGGCGTGTGGTGGGCGTTCGAGAATGACTTCACTTGCCTGTTGAAAAAGTTTTAGGTGTTTTGATGCCGTAAATCCACTGCCCAAGAGTCCCTTCCGGCTGGAAGTTTCTATTTTGGGAGAAGACGGGTGTGGGAAGGGTTAAGCATTGTTCAGTCAAAGAGCAGGGCTGAGCCTCACTGACCTTTTAAAGTTCTTGCACTGTGGTTTGAGATGCGGGAGGTCTCATAACATTCTATAAAAATACAATGTTCAAACAAAGCAACTTCCGAAGCCTAAAGGATGTAGACAGAGGAAGGGCTTGACTCTGAGGAACATTTGAGTAGAATTTCCACAAGAGTCTCGAGGACTCTCAAGAGCCCTTTACCCACCGTGCTCTGGGGGTGTGTGTGTGTGTGTTATTCCCCATCGGCTGTTCCTAGGAGCAGTCACTTGAGGTTGTTTGGGTCCAGAACGGTTCCCATTTTTGCCCAGCAGTGGGTGACGTGGGCAGACTGTGTGTCCCTCTCAAGGGTGGGTGGTGGCCCTTCCTCCTCCATCACCAGGCCCAGTTTGGACTGTGGTTTCACTTGGCAGGGGGGCTGGGCTGTCCGTGGGCCCAGAGAGGAACATTTCTGCCTTGGCGCGTAGCTCTGAGTCAACAGGCCCGATACACAGCCCGCTTCCCAGGGCCGGCGAGGAACAAGGCCCCCCGGCTGCTGCAGGATCCGTCTACCCCCCTCTTCCTGAAACAGCTGTTTATTCTTTTGACAGGAGTTGGAACGCAGCACCTTCCCTTCCTTTGAGCCCTGCCTCCTGCACAAGGGAGCTCAATAGAGCTTTGTCGTCTTGCCTTTTACTCTGGGGTGAACGAAGCAGACGATGAGGTATGTGCAACACTGAAATGATTTGCTTCGGCCATGACGGGGTCACTGGGGAAACTCAGGCTGCTGCGTCGACCCCCGCCCCCACCCCGGGGGAGGATCCTCACTGTCCCCTTAACCTTTTGCTGGTCCCATCAGTAGTTCTGGAGGAGGACAAAGTCCTTCCCTCCCCAGCAGCGGATCTGGAAGCAGGAGCTGGCAGGATGCTGGCTCAGGGACTTCACTGTGAGTTCTGCTTTATTTTGCTCCCCTTGGCAGGACCTCCCGGGGCCGAGGCTGTGGCCTGGAGTTTCCTCTGAAGGATTTAAGGTGGCAATGCAGGGGCAGGGGCAGGGGCTGAGGCTCAGGCCCTGGGGGTGAAGTTGTGGGCGGATGCAGAGCCTCTCAGGACAGTTCGGCATCTACCATTTATCTCACTTGGGTTCCCTTGGGAAAACCCTTGCACAGTGATTTCTGAGCCAGGCGACAAGGAAAAGCTGGCTGGATCTGGGCTTTAGATTTCTGGATAGGGGATTCTAGAAAAGGCACTACGAGATGTACCCCAGAGAACAGGCCATTCCGTCTGCGACGGCTGGAGAGACAGTCTGCCGTGTATTTAGTCTGAGACCTGTCTCTTACTGTCCTGCGTCTGTGTTTACTCTGAGCTTTATAATGAAAACCATGACTGGCGACGGCCTTGCATGCACTCTTCCCCCAGGAATCATGCCACGTTTCTTCCCGCGGGGAGCATTTCCCTGGGACGCCCACCGGTCCAGAGGGCTTTCAGGAAAAGGCTGTCTCCCTCCTCGCTCCTGCACCACCCCAGCGCCAAGGCCGGGGCTGGGGGGGTGGGGTGGGGGGGGCAGAGCAGCTGCATGTAACATCTGGCACCAGCACTTCTGGGTGCGCCCCATGATCTCAGGCAAGCTACTTCCCTTTGCTGAAGCTCCGTTTTCTCAGCTAAAAAGCCAAGTGAAGGCCACCACACTGACTGACAGTGAGAAACAAGATGTGAGCTGAGGACACCCCACACCAGGCACACAGGAGGCACCTGGAGAGAACTGAGCCAGTGCTCACCAGCTGGCCCAAGGACAGCCTAGCCCACAGTGCTTAGCCTGTGCATGAGCCTTCCTGTCTCTTTAAGCAACAGAGTGGTTAAAAGAGAGGGTACCAGAGGCGGAGTCCCTGCATCTGAATCCTAGCTCCACCACTTTGCGCTGTGTGACACTGGGCAAATTACTTAACCTTTCTGAGCCTCTGTTTTCACATCTGTAAAATGGGGATTATAATAGAGTAACTTCACAGGGTTGTGGTGAGGCTTAACTGAGAGACTGCTGAAAAAGGGTTTAGCCCAGGGCCTGGCCTGGCTCAGTCTGGGAGGATCTAAGCATTGCAGGGCTTGGAGCTGATTCAATCTGGGAGGCCCTCTTTAAGAAAAAGAATGCAAAGTTATGAATACAATATGAGATATGGAAGTGAATCCTTAGAATATAAGAACTATCACAACAAGTAACAAAAACTGAAATACTCCAAATATGACAAAATCCAAAAGACAGCATAAGATGATATAAAAATACAAAAATGATTAGTATTACTCAGCTGCCTGAGGCACCTGTCATGTTTTGGTTTCATACTTTTTGACTGTCACCTTATCTGATAACAGTTTTTCAGTATCATTTTTTTTTAATTTTTTTTTTATTCCTTTATTTTTTTTTTTTTCCATTTTCAGTTGGCCAATTAACTTTTTTTTTTTTTTAGTAGAGACGGTGTCTCGCTCTTGCTCAGGCTGGTTTTGAACTTCTGAGCTCAAACAATCCACCCGCCTCGGCCTCCCAGAGAGCTAGGATTACAGGCGTGAGCCACTGCGCCCGGCCGACGAGAATTCTACCACTGAACCACCAATGCTTCTCAGTATCATTTTAAATAGAGACGAAAGATAAATCAGTTTTGGCTCTGGCATGGTTAATCAGTGGTTGCTTTTTATTACTGAGAGTTTAGAAGAGTTTCTTTCAGCTTCACAGCCCGTTTTGGTGAAGCCACACCTGTAAGTCTTCTGACAGTCTCTCACTCGGTGGCCCCAGCCAGATCGCCAGGGAACTCAGCCCTGTGATCCTCGCTAGGCACAGTGGGCCTGGGTGCTGGATGGGGGTGGAGGGTGGGGGCACCAGGTGGTTGCGAGACCTGGGTTGTAGTGACCCCTGAGCAGGGAGCAAGGTGACCAAGGTCCACCTGGGGTTGTTCCTGGGCCCTGGGCGGGTGTGCAGGAGGAAGAGTCCGCCCCCAGCACAGCCTGCGGCCCCAGGACGGGCGCCAGGGCTAAAGAGGATCTCTCCAGGCAGGGGCAACACCCTCTACCCCCACCCCATGGGAAGTGAGGCCCAGTCCTGCGAGGGGGCCTGTGCAGGAGGAGACCCTGCCACCTAAGCTTCGTCAGCTCCTGGCAAGTCAGCCTCTGCGCTCAATGCGTGTTGGTCGGTAAACGCTATCATTTGATCCTCACACTGAGGAAGCCGCGTGGGGAGCTGCGGCAGGATGAGCTCCGTGTGGCTGAGTCAAACGCCCTCGTGGAAAATGTGGTTTCCAGCCCTGTGGCAGATTTCTTATCCACATCCTGGGGCAGTCAGGAAAGCCTGTTGAAGAAAGTTAGGGCCAGAGCATCTGTTTTCTGGATAAGGAGACTGAGCTGGAGAAATTTGTGAGCCTGGTTTAGAACGCGGGCTCTGTGATAACTCTGGGGCTGTCCCCAGGGCTGCTAGAAGGCCGAGCTTCCGTCTGCCCCTTTGCCTGCCCTGTGTTAGGGACGGCCCTCAGGGGCAAAAAGGGGCCTGGCTGGTCGAGGCTGCACAGCCAGGCCTTTTCCCGGGGGCAGAGCAGAGTGGAGCTGACTTTATCACAGCACGCAGTGGGGTGCGGGCTAGCCCCGACTGTCCTGTGAGGTCCTGCCACAGGGGACTGAGATTCCTCTCTTACATGGACTCACAGCTCTGCTTTCAGGACCAAGCTCTGAACCACGTGTTTCTGAGTCTCTCCCATGAAAAAGCATCATCATTGTTACAGCTGCTGTTTGCGGAACATTTGCTGATGTCGGGCACAATGTGCTTCATAGACATGGTCTTCTACTTCTGGCCTTTCCCTGTGAGGAGGGTGTTTGAATCTCCACTTGGTATATGCAAATGGGGGCTCAGAGAGCTAACTTGCCCAAGGTATCCATCTATGACTCTGCTGATTTAAGAGTCCTAAGCACTAGCCTATTTTTTACCTAGACACGCTTGTTTGTAATCAAGCTATAGAGGACTGTAGACCGGAGTCTTGTCCAAGGTCATTAATACCCAGTTAGTTCCTATACCTTTCTCTGTCCCCTTACCTTCTTTGTTTCTCTTTGCAACACTTGTCCCTACCTGACATTATATATCCTGTTGAGTCTCTTGACTCCCATTGGAACGGACGCTCTATGGTGGTCTGGCTCCAAAAACCATCTGGTGTGCAGTAGCCAAGTTCCGTATTTGTGGATGAATCTATATGGCAGAGCATGATTAGGGCTCCTCAGGACTCTCCTTACTCATTTGTTTACCCCAAAACACTCTGGGTGCACCTGCTGGGTGCCAGGGCCTGTGGCAGTCTGGACCCATCTCAATAGGCCACAAGCGATTAATGCTCAAGTGTAGGTGGAGAGGCCTTGTGGAGGTGGGGATGGATTCTAGGGGCATGGTGGAGGGACCTCAGGCGGAGAGAATGCTTCAGTCAGCAGCGAGGTTTGGTTTCCTCTGCCACTGCTTTCCCCTGGCCCGATAATGGCTTTTCCACAGCCTCTGAGTACACGGCTATTCGCCTGAGAGGTTCACCTTTTCCCCTGGTGTGAGATGGAGAAAACAGGGTCCACCAGAATTCCTTTTGGAGAGGAATTCTGTTTGGAAGGAATACCTTGACTTTGACCAGCTGGGGTGGAGCCATGAGATTCTCTGAGGATGTGTGAGTTGTTTTGTGTGAGATGGGTTGGACGTAGGTAGGGAAGAAATAATTTATGGGCCACATGGAAAAATGTGTCTGACACTCCAGGGAAATCAAAGCAGAAAAGGGGGAGGGGGAGGGTGGAGTGAGGAAGGTGGAGGAGTGACAGGCTTTACAGCACAACCTTGCCTTTCAAAATGCCTCTGCATCTGTAGTGCAATCCACACATGTCCCAGGAGTGCCGGGTGTGGGTGGCTTCATCTGGGCAGCAGTGCAGGGGCTGAGTTCTTGTTAACTGAGTTCTGGGAGGGGGGTGGGCCCGGGCCTGGGAGCAGCCCATGTGGGGCTGTAGGATGGGTTCAGGGAGAAATTACAAGAGCATTATTACATTATATCACGGGCTGTGGCACTGGGGCTGGCTGAGTTCACCCTGTCCTCTGAGGGGTGGGGACAGGGATGCTGGGGTCCACTCTCCCACTTAGGACAGGGTGTTCATACTAGGCAGGTCCTCATTCTGGGCTCTGCTTCTTGAAGGGGGGATTTAGAAACAAACTCATTTCTTACTGGCAGGTAAGACAGTCAACCACCCATCTTCTGAATTACAGAGTTTTAAAAATTCTGAGACAAACCCATAAGAGAAGGACTTTTAGATCACATTGGCTGCCAAATGCCTCATTTTCTTGTCCAGAGAGAAAAATAAAAATGTTTTAAAAGATCTAGTGGACACCCTGCCAAGCCTTCCTTCCCCGGAGACTTGGATTCCAGATTCCAGAAGACATCTCCACCCATTTCTAGTGCTTTGCTAAAGGATGCAAAATTGGATCATTCGGACAGCTTCCAATTGTAAGTCTGAAACAAGAGTGACTATAGCAAATAGGCAAGCAGATTCCAGCCATCTATGAAGTCCAGGAAGAAATGGGCTTTAGGAGTTGCCTCTGATGTTAATTTCTGCAATTAAAAAAAAAAGGTTAAGCACCTGCATATTCGGGAGGGGATTAGGAAGTGTATCTGATCTGAGTTCTCCCTGACTGAAGTGCCATAAGAGTTTTCACTTCTACAATTTGCATTTGCTCCTCAGCAGGTGGGGCTGGCAAAGCTGGGGACACACAGCCAGCCAGCCAGCCGCACAGTTGTCTCCTCAGCATACACAGGCGGTTGTGGCAGCGCCTGGGGCTTGATCAAAGAAAATCAAAGTCACATCCCACTTCTGAGGAGCTCTTAATCAGGCTGTGGCATAGAACAGATGGGTAAACCCTAGAGTCCCTCGTTTGCATATATTTGCACTTCATTGTATAACATGTTCCTGTATTCCAAATCCCTCCTTCCTTTCCTTCCAGTCTGTTTTGAGCACTTGCTAAGTACCAGGCACTGTGCTATCCTCCCAACAGTCCGTTTTATGGACACCAGTTATAAGAACTAGCAGTGGGCCGGGCGCGGTGGCTCACGCTTGTAATCCTAGCACTCTGGGAGGCCGAGGCGGGCGGATTGCTCAAGGTCAGGGGTTCAAAACTAGCCTGAGCGAGACCCCGTCTCTACTATAAAAATAGAAAGAAATTAATTGGCCAACTAATATATATATATATGAAATTAGCCGGGCATGGTGGCTCGTGCCTGTAGTCCCAGCAACACGGGAGGCTGAGGCAGTAGGATTGCTTGAGCCCAGGAGATTGAGGTTGCTGTGAGCTAGGCTGACGCCACGGCACTCACTCTAGCCTAGGCAAGAAAGCAAGACTCTGTCTCAAAAAAAAAAAAAAAAAAGACTAGCAGTGTTTTTTTTTTTTTTTTTTTTTTTTTGAGCAACTATGCCAGACACAGCACTAAGTATTTCATGGACACCATCTCTTATAATCATCACTATTTTTAAAGGTGAGGTCATCAATTTAATGTGATCCAGGAGAGGTCCACAATCCCTTAACCTTGGGTCAGAATGTTTTGGATGTGGATTATATATCATATATTACACAGCATCCCAGTGCAGCAGCACCCCAAAATAAAATACATCAACATTTATGCAAAGAAGCAGTCTCACTCACTGGGATAAAGATTATAAATGCAAGTGGCCTCATGTCAGTTAGGGCCATGATGCCAATTGTTAACAGAAAGGTATGTAGAGGCCAGGCATGGTGGCTCATCCCTATAATCCTAGCACTTTGGGAGGCCAAGGTGGGAGGATCATTTGAGGCCAGGAGTTCAAGACCATCCTGGGCAACACAGTGAGACCCTGTCTTTACAAAAAATAAAAAAATCAGTTGGGCATAGTGGTACATACCTGTAGTCCTAGCTACTAGGGAGGTTGAGGTAGGAGGATCACTTAAGCCCAGGGGTTCATGGTTATAGAGAGCTATGATTGTGCCACTGCACTCCAGCCTGGGTGACAAGACCAAGACCCTGTCTTTGGAGTTATAGATGAGAGCCTCTGCCCAGTGTTACCCAGATTCATGTGTCAAGGTTGAGACTGGAATCTCGCACCTCACCCCAAAGCCCGTGGCTCACCACTATCCACACGTCTCTGGGAGTGAAGACACCAATACACAGAGGTGGCCACAGCCTCAGACTGAGATCTGTTGGCACCCAAAGCCTGGACTTTTTCAAACACTTAATGCCAGTGCCATTTATGCAGACTTCTTGTGACTTTTTTCAACAGTGGGGCTGAGTTGCCTGCAGCCATCTACATTTTTTTACTTTGCCGTGGACCCTGGGCTGTATGTGTCAGCTCACATGGTTTAGAGGGAAGAAGCCTGAGACTGAGGCTTACCTGTGTCCCAGCAGGTCTGTTGTCTTAGGGGTCTCTGGCGTATCCCCATCATAGTTGTATGGAAAGCTGGAGGTTGGGTTATGACATTGAATTCAGCCCTTGCTTTTCCATTTCCAAACAAGCTCTAGGCAAGTAGAAAGAGAGTGTCATGGCTGAACATCCTGTTCTTTCTCTTCTTTAATTGAATTTAATAATAAAGGTGATTAGCACATGAGATCTGAGGCTGGAATAATCTAAGAAATCTCTTTGAAAAGAACTGGAAAATCACTTATCCCCAGAAAGGACAGATTATAGTGTCAATCTCATTTTATTTCATTCATTCACCAAACATTTATTGAGGGCCTTGTCTGCTCTACGTGAGGCACTGGGGATTGAGGGCTGAATAAGAAGACATACCTCCTTCCTTTGGGAAGCTCGAAGACCAACTGGTGCAGGAGACAGAGCCATATGGGATGTTACTGTGTGAGCCATCCCCGAAATCGACACGTGTAGCAATGTGAAAGGAGTGAGGGAGGAACGTGAGGTGAGGCGGGGACTCCGTTGCTGGTTGGGTGGAGGTGAGATGTAGCTTTACAAAAGCAATGACATTTGATGCACGGCTGGCCACCATCTCCTGTTAGCTTCCAGATGTCTCCACTCTTGGCTTTCTACCTACTTCCTGGACCTCTCTCTCTCTCATTTCCTCCTCTGTCCTACCTCTTAATGTTGGCATTTTCAGGCTTAAGCCCAGGGCCACCTTATTTCCTTTTTCTCTCTCTGCATTCTTTTCCTAGCAACCTCATTCATTTCCTTCACATTGAATACCATCCCTATGTGGATAGCTCCCGCATTGCATGTCCAACCCACATCTCTCTGTTCAGTGCCAGACATAAATGTCCACTTGCCTACTGGTCATCTCCACTTATGAATTTATAGACACCTCAAAATCAACAAGTTCCAAGTGGGGACTCATGAATCTTACCCCCTACACCTGCTTCTCTTCCATCCCACCTGACCCATCTCAGGAAATGCTACAGTTGTCCACCTGCTTAGGCAGAAAACTTTCTTCTTCCCTCTTCCTTGTCCCTGATGCCTAAATTACCAATCAAGTCCTATCAATTCTCTTTCCAAAGTATATTTGAGTTGATCTACCACTCTCCATCTCTGTTCTTTTATGTGATGGCCAGTCAGGTGTGACCACAAGAGGAAACACAGGAGAGGCTTAGGAAAAAAACATGTATTATACTCACAGGCCCCAAAGACAGGAGGCACAGCGCACCACTCGGGGCCCCTCATGAAAAATACCAGGGTGGTCAGGAGATAGGAGCAAAGGGAAGCTTGAGGCCAGAGCCCTTACTGGGACTTCCACGGGAAAGGCAGGGCAGGGCAAATTGTTTAGGATTGCCTAGTTTGAATAATTTCAGCAGGCAGGCTGTAAGCTCTAGGGGTGGGCCTTAGCTGTCTGGTACCTGGTCCTGATGGGACGATTAGGGCCGAGTCTTACTGCCTCCTGGGGTGCAGGGGCCAGACAGAGGCTGTACGGCTCTCGATTGGTTGGTTTGTATATCAAAGGCATACTACCATCTGAGCCCTTGCTAGCTCTAAGAACTGGCTAGCCCCAGGAGGGACAGTCTCTCCCCAGCCAGAAAAGTTTTTAAAGATGTCAAAACATCATAATATATAGCCCAATAAAAAAATATACATATACAGGCTGGGTGTGGTGGCATGCACCTGTAGTCCCAGCTACTTGGGAGGCGAAGGCAGGAGGATCACCTGAGCCTGGGAGTCTGAGGTTGCAGTGAGCTATGACGATGCCACTGCACTTTACCATGGGCAATGATACAAGACCCTGTCTCCAAAAAAAAAAAAAAAAAAAAAAAAAATATATATATATATATATATATATGTATATAAAATACACACAACACATACAACTGGCCACCCGCTCTTTCTGGCCATCAGAATATTCTCCTGACTGGCCTCCCCACTCTGCCGTTGAGCTCTTATCCACACCCGCACCCCAACATGCAGACAGGTGTCTCTGAATGAAGCTGGGTCTGGTCATTCCCCAGCCTCTGAAACTCTTGTGTCTCCCCCTTGTGCTTTCTGTGGTTCTGTCTTTCCTACCCCCTGACCTGTTGTCTACCACCATCCTCCCGTGATCCAGCCACTCTGAGGTGAGAAAACTTCAGTGTTTTTTCTTATTCAGGTTTTCTTGTTTTTTAAAATATGAGTGAGCTTTTTCTCCTGTCATCCTGTTAGAAATGCTGTTCCTGAAATATTCTCATCCCTTCTCATGGCGCTTTTCATCCTCTTCGAGCCCGTCTTCATGCCTTGGGACTTGACTCTAATTTTACCTGCACCGAGAGGCATCTCTGACCACCCGCATTAAAGCACTTCCCAGCCTGTTACTCTCCACATAGCACCCCTTCCCTTTCAGTCACAGTTTCAAGCAACGATCAAGAAATAGCTATGCACCGGCAACAATTGTTTGCTTGCTTGTGAGTGTGGTGAGCCTAAACTGGGTAGAGCTGGGAGTGAGAAAGGCCTAGATTGTAAACCCAGGGTCTTTTTTTTTGGGGGGGGGGCGGGGAATGCAACAACTTTATTGAAAGAAAAGTACAATGAAATTTGTTGAAAGCTTAAACTTAGACACCTGGGCAGGGGGTGTGTAGTTAGCAAACCAAGGACGTGGAGCCAGGGAACAGAGTGGCTCCCTACAGCCATGTGCCAAAAGGTGGAGCCATCTGACTCAGGAGGCAACTGGAGTCCCTGGGACCATTTACAGTTACTCCCTCACCCTCCTACATCCATGCTGGATATCTGGATACTTTGCCTCTGAGCCCCAGCGTGGTCTTAGCATCCTTCCCAACCCGGGCAGCCTCCTCTGCTAACTGAACTGGTCTGATCTGCCATTGTAGGCCTGTGCAATTTAAGGTAGAATACATTCCTCAGCTCTAGTTAAATATTCCTAAATGCATCCTTTTAGAGAGAATGTGGGTAGAAGTATTTCTTTAAGACCATATTTTCCTCTATGTTTCATTTATTTAATCTACTTTTTCCTCTTTTTTCCTAGGAGAAAATAATGAATGTCAAAGGAAAAGTAATTCTGTCAATGCTGGTTGTCTCAACTGTGATTGTCGTGTTTTGGGAATATATCAACAGGTAATCATGAAACATGATGAAATGATGTCGATGAAAGTATTGCTTTGACCCTGTTCTGCTAGTATCAGCCAATTCACCAGGCTGCATTAAAATTAGGATTAACTCAAACCATATATGAGGAATTCCACTCTTTCTAATCCCTGAGCCCTAGATTAACTTTAAAAAACTTTAACATTAGATCTCCCAAATAACTTTTGGCTAATTATCTTCCTTCCTGCCATGTTCCTAATATCTTGGTTTTTTGTACTGGTAGGCTAGATTCAGACAGAGAGAGGTCAAATTAAGCCCAAAATGTAATTTTTAATAACTTGTATAATCATATATAGAAATTATCTTAAGAAATTTCAGACAAGAATTTTATGAAAAATCCACCCTAAATTTTGCAATCCTAAAATATTTGCAGAGTTTAAAGGAGCAATTCAAGTTGTTGACTTTTTCTACAAAATACATTCTGAGTTGCTGGTGATTCATTTGTGCCTGGCTAAAACTTTTGGGTGTTATATTTTTTTTTAACTCTGGAAAGCAAAATGAATTAAAGATTTCTGAGTTTTCAAATTCATCTGTGGATTCATCCCAAATATATGAGCTGCCTCTGTGCTTTTTGAAACTACTATGCCTTAGAGATTCCAGCTGGAGAGGCTTCTGAGAGAAAAGTCTCCGCAAGCAGCTACAGAAATGTATGATGCCTTTGACTCAAAACCCTGGAAAAGCTCAGCTTTCAGGTTCAGACAGTCTGCTGTACAATTGAATTGGACAGAGCTGTCCCAGCACCATTAATATTTTCATGGTGAAGCCTTTCAGTGGCCCCCAAGTTCAGGATGATGTTCAGGATTAACATTTGAATTTCTCTTTCAATTCTTAAATTCTAAAATTTGATGAGCCAGCCAGGACTATCTTGGCTACTAAAGAAGGAACTGCATATTTAGGGACATCAGAAACAGAGGAATCTCCAGAAACCTGGAGCCAAATCTAACCACTTCTGGAATGTTCTCTTGTTTCATTCTGAGCACTCATTTTAAGAAAAACATGACAAGCTAGACTGTGACCAAGTTAAAAGAGTCTGGAAACTAAGTCTTTTGAATTAAGGAAACTGAGGGTATTTAGTCCAAACAAGAGATGGCTCAGAGTTGGATGCAGGCACCCTGGGGTTTCCTTAGGCATTTGCAGGCTGGAGAAGTACCCTGGCCAGACTCCAGAGCTGGGCTGCCACTTACCTCCTCTGTGACCAGGGGCAAGTTACCAGTCACTGTTCTTTAGTTTCCCTCTCTTTAAAACTGGGGATAATAATAGGGCCTGCCTCATAGGGTTGTTGAAAGGATTAAGTAAGTTCTTGTGGATAAAAAACTTGGGACAATGGACTCAATAAGCACTCACTAAATGTTACCTGTCATCATCATCATTATCATTGTCATCTTAATCAGCTCAGGCTGCTATAACAAAATACCGCAAAGTAGGTGGCTTAAACAATAGGAATTTATTTCTCACAGTTCTAGAGGCTAGGGAGTCCAAGATCAAGGTGCCAGCCAATTCAGTTCCCCGTGAGGGCCCTTCCTGGCTGGCAGATAGCCACCTCCCCCCTGTACCCACACATGATGGAGAGAGAGTAAGCTGCTGTCCCTTCCCCTTCTTAGGGGACACTAATTCCATTATGGGCATCCCACCCCCATGACCTCATCTAAACCTAATTACCTCTCAAAGGCTCCACCTCTAAATACCACACACAGAGGCCGGGGCTTTAACATACGAATTTTGGGGGGATACAAACATTTACTCCACAAGAGTCATTATCATCACCGTCACCGTCATCATTTGCTCCAGAGGACAAAAGAGGGCAGGGGATTTTGGCAGTTGGAAAAGTCCAACCGAAGAACAAGTGCCCTTTGCAGTTCCTGCCTAGTGTCCGTATGTTCTTCTGGATAACCTTCCAGCTCTGAGTCTGTACACTTGATTAGATAACTGTGGCGTTTTGCATTGTAGCCAGAATCGTACTTCCATAATTTGGGCGGTTCACAAAATTAAAATACGACAGACAAAGGCTCAGATGTGCATGTTGGCACTGGCCTCTCAGAAAGAGGGTTATTTTTCAGTGCTGGGTATATTTTCTCTGCACGGTGGCCAGAGCAGGTTCTAGCTGCTCTTCAAGGCCATGTGCATGGTCTGGCACCTGGACTCCGCCACATCATTCTCTCATGTGCAGAATCCACTTGATCATCTGCAAGAGGCTCAAAGGGAGATACATATTATGAGTTAGCCAGATGATGGCTTGAGGTGAGCGGAGGATACTAACCTTAGGCAGCACTGAGCTAAAAAGGATTTAAAGATAACTAAGTCAAACACATCAACTATTAATAATTAGTAAATAGAACTGCTGTGAGTAAAGCACCCTGAAAGAATGTCATCCAGGACAGCATTTGATTTGAGGCTGGGTAAAAAAAGAAATCTTAGGCTGTTAGAGCTGGAGGAAACTTTAAAAGTTATAGTGAAATAATAATGGTGATTACAACGATGGCAGCTGTTAGTTATTAAGTGTCTGCGTGTGCCAGGACCCATCCTATGCATTACCTCCAATTCTTATGAGAGCCCTGCACAGTGGGTATTATCCCAAGTTTCTAGATGAGAACACCAAGCCTCAGAAATGTTAAACATTAATGTTCAAGGTCATATTTTCAGGAAGATTTAGGTGCCTGGCTATCTAACTGCAGCTCATTCTCAACCTTTCCTTTAGTCAGTGGCTACCATTTTAAAGTGACAAAATGGAAACCCAATAGGTGAAGCAACTTAATAGTGAATTTATGTCTGTGTTCTATTAGAATTCAGATCTTCTGAATCATTGTCCTGGACTCCTTCTTGATCTGAGTGCTGTCAGGGATACAATGTGAGCCAAATAGAACTCCTCCCCTCAGGATGCTATGACCTAGGCCGGGCATAAGATGTGTTTATAAATAACCAATGATACAAAGTAGATGAAGGACATCAGAGGCAGAGAAGAGGGCTGGAAGAGTTCAAGGAGGCAAAGACTGTGTTTGGGTTGGAGGAGAATCCATTTTTTTTTCATGCATGCACAAATATTTATTGGGCACCCTACTATGCTAGGCACTGTGCTAGAATCATATCAAGGAGGGCACAGAAGACGTGGCATTTGAGCTGTGCCTTGAAGGATGAATACATATTAAAATGCCACTCAAGGTCAGGAGTTCGAGACCAGCCTGAGCAAGAACGAGACCCCATCTCTACTAAAAATAGAAAGAAATCAATTGGCCAACTAAAAATATATAGAAAAAATTAGCCACGCATGGTGGTGCATGCCTGTAGCCCCAGCTACTTGGGAGGCTGAGGCAGGAGGATTGCTTGAGCCCAGGAGTTTGAGGTTGCTGTGAGCTAGGCTGTCACCATGGCACTCACTCTAGCCTAGGCAACAAAGCAAGACTCTGAAAAAAAAAAAAAAAAAAAGAAAAGAAAAAGGAGGGGAGGTTAAAGAGATATGACAAATTGGTAAACCTGGATCTATAAATTTGTGCGCTGAGTGCCAGGCGGGGTTCTGAGTGCTGGGTTACAGCTCTTGTAGGTGCTTTAAGATAGTCTCACTGCCTTCATTAAAGAAATGTCTTCTGCTCTGTATAAGGCTCTGACCTGGACATGGCATTAGGCTCCGAAAGTGAGGCTTTATTTTCTGGGGTAAGATAAATCCTGGATAAGGGATGGCTGGACCATGGTGTTTCCACCCTCCAGGGCCGTCTTCAACACCAGACACCTGAGTATAGGTGGTAAAAGAGGACCCATCTATGGAGCCTCTCTCCCTCAGTGATGCCACCCCTGGGCAATGGAGAGCTGTCTTTTTTTTTTTTTTTTTTTTTTGAGACAGATTGTCACTCTGTTGCCCAGGCTAGAGTGTCATGGCATCAGCCTAGCTCACAGCAAACTCAAACTCTTGGGCTCATGCAATCCTTCTGCCTCAGCCTCCCAAGTAGCTGGGACAACAGGTATACACCACCATGCCCAGCTAATTTTCTATATATATATTTTTTAGTTATCCAGCTAATTTCTATTTTTTTTTTAGTAGAGACAGGGTCTCGCTCTTGCTTAGGCTGGTCTCCAATTCCTGAGCTCAAACTATCTGCCTGCCTCAACCTCTCAGAGCGCTAGGATTACAGGCGTGAGCCACCATGCCCGGCCTTCTTTTTAAAAAAAAAAACACCACAATTTGAGATCCGCCAGAGACTCCCATCTCCTTGATATCCTGAAGTTACTGCAAGTGGAAATTCCCAGTCTCCTGCTAGCATTGGTTATGTCTCAAAGGAAAGTGGAAACTTGGAAGTAGCTAAAACCCAGGCTCTCAGTACAGCCCAGGGCTCAATGATAATGGTTAAAAAAAATAGCCTTTCTCAGAATTAAAAGTAACATGATATGTTTTTGTTTTTCATTTGCTTTTAGCCCAGAAGGCTCTTTCTTGTGGATATATCACTCCAAGTAAGTGCTTTGCATCTTAGTAGCTGGCTCCCACATCCACTCTTGCACCCGCTACAGCCTGTTCACACGGCAGCCAGTGATGGTGCTCAGGCCCAAGCTGGAGGGAAGCGGGTGGATCCCAGGGGATCTGGGCTGTATTCCTCTGGCCCCCGGTCTTCTTTTTATCATTAAATTTTTTTAAAATTTTGGCATGTTATGGGGGTACAAATTTTAAGGTTTCAATAAATGCCCTTTCTCCCCCACCCCCCACAAGTCTGAGTTTCCAGCATGACCATCCCCCAGATGGTGCACATCTCACTCATTATAGTATGTATATACCCTCCCCCCTCCCCCTTGCCCAATGCCCTATTACTGTAGTACCTATGTGTCCACTTATTGGCCCCCAGTCTTGTCTGTATAGAGCCATGACTTGTATTTTGCCCTCAGTTCTCATCAAGGGTCTCTCTACGTAGTGCATTTGGGGAACAGTCCTGTTTTGCAGATGAAAAGAATCTGGGAAGATACAGTCCATTATTCTGCCCCATATGTTTTCTAAAGACCTATGCAAGAAATTTCTCTGAGAATAAGAACCAGGAAAACAGTCTGAGTCTCTTGATAAACTAGCGTTTATCTTTTTTAATTATTATTTTTTGAAAAGAAAATGAGAGCCATGTAAACCTTTATCTTCCTATTCTTGGCTTGGTTGTTAGAAAGCTCAGAGCAAAAAGTATTGTACTTAACTGCTTGTACTTGCCCAGCCTTTGTTTCTGATATAATCTGTCCTCTGGTGTTAAATCCTGGCTTTTATGCTTACATGCCATGGGACCTTGGCAACTTGCTCAAACCCACTCAGCCAATATCTCAGCTGTAAAATGAAAATAAAGTAAAACCTTCATTTGGGCTGGTGCAGATCATGTGAAAATACATACCTGGGTGACTAAATCAATGTTTCAGTTCCCTTTGGGTTTCTTAGTCTCGTGTTATTTTGCTTATTGTACCCATGTATCGTGAACTATCTCAAATGCTTCCAAGAGTAGATGGGCTTTGAAACAGGTTTCTTTTTTTTGAGACACACTGTGTTGCCCCAGCTAGAGTGCTGTGGCGTCAGCCTAGCTCACAGCAACCTCAAACTCCTGGGCTCAAGCAATCCTCCTGCCTCAGCCTCTCGAGTAGCTGGGACTACAGGCATGCGCCACCATGCCTGGCTAATTTTTTATATATATACTTTTAGTTATCCATCTAATTTCTTTCTATTTTTTTTTAGTAGATCTGGGGTCTCGCTCTTGCTCAGGCTGGTCTGGAACTCCTGAGCTCAAACAATCTGCCCCTCACCTTCCCGGAGTGCTAGGGTTATAGGCATGAGCCACCACACCCGGCCTGAAACAGGTTTCTTAATACCATTCTGCCTGTTCACAAATTACCTCAACACCTGATTTGTCCAACTGGAAGGCACCATGTCCCCCAGCTTCCCCCTCTTTCCCACTCCTCTAGAACGCCCCCAACTTGAACAGATTCTCACAATGAGAGAGTGGACACTTTCTCAAGTGGGTGGCTAAAGTGGCTTCTAATTAGTTTCCTGAACTCCTTGTTCAGTGACTCTCAGATTTCCTGAAGCTGTTACTGCCGACCTTTGGGCAACTTGAATTTTTCTCAGGCTGACCTTTGTAGCAACCTGAATTTTGCTAGTTTAGCAAAAGAGATGACTCTTGGGAATGTGCATTGGTTTTTCATTAAGACTCTAACTTGTTACGGCTATTTACAACTTACAAAGCTCTTTTACATATACTAGTTCAGTCAGTCTTCAAATTTACTTTCATGGTAGGTTTATTATTATTAACTACATTTTTTTAGAGGAAAAAGTCAAAATTCACAGAGGGAAAATGTCCTATTGTAGTCACACAACTAGTAAGTGGCAAGTCCAGGACTCAAGTTTATGTATTTATATTAACCCCAGCCACCCCCACCCACCCTCTTTTCCCCCACTCTCCCTGCTTGAGCTTCCAGGGTGAGCTGAGGGCTGGCAGCTGCCCCAAGGGAGGGGCGGCCCAGGGAGCCTCAGTTCTGTCCTCTCTCATTCAGCTGCAATGCTTCCCTTCTGTGTGTTTTATGAATTGGCAGTTTTAAATTTTGTTTCTGTTTTAAATGATCTCTACCATAAGAAGAGTTTGAGGACTGCCTCATTTTCTCAAAATATTTATAATCTTTTTCATTTCTTAGAAACCCTGAAGTTGGTGACAGCAGCACTCAGAAGGGTTGGTGGTTTCCGAGCTGGTTTAACGATGGGTAATCGGATGGCAGTCTTTGTTTGCGCACCCACCCAATGCTTGCAGAGAGTCCTCGTATAATGGTTTCACATTCATGACCTTCTCAGTCACTCACCTTCTTATTGAAATCATACGGGAATCTGTTTTGTGGGTGGGACTAGGACATTTAAGTTTTGTTTTGTTTTTGTCCAGTTAATTTGGGGCTAGTGCTTGGGCTGAAGTTTAGATTGCAAGAAAGATAATCATAAACTAAAATGTTCTTAGGACAACAGTTATCAAGTTTCCTCCACCTGAAATAACCTGAGGGCTGTTAGGTCATTAAATGGCTAACTGTGCTGACTCGGAGGGTGATGAGAAAGGTGAATACCGTACCTTTTTATCCAAAGTATGCCTTTATGAATAGACATCTAGTGCCTGGAGCCCTTCCCCAGTCAGTAACTTTGTGCATGTATTTTCTGCCTCAGAACACGTTTTCCCGCGACATTCACCAACTGTCTGTCCCACCACCAGGGATCGCCTTCCCTGTCTTACCCAGCTTGCTTTTCCTTTGTACTTAGGACCCACAGTAATCAAGAAGAGGAAGACATAGACAAAGAAAAAAGAAGAGAAAGGGAACAAAGAAAGGAAGATGATGAAGAAGAGCTTCAGCTGTGGGACTGGTTTAATCCAAAGTAAGAAAAGAAGCGTCGCTTCACGTGCAGTAAATCCATCACTCAGCAGGGGGTGGCAGAGGCGGTGGAGGCAACAGTACCATCGAGAATATTCCTGATTTGGGAGAAAGAATTGTAGTATATTAGACCTTTAACAATAGACTTTGCATAAGAAACTGATATCTGGATATTTTGAACCAAATGGATTGAGCAACACAGTGATTCTGACAGCAACTGGCTAATGGTAGCAGATGAATCACTGAATATTGGGGCTGGAAGGGGTCTTACAGGCCACAGAGTATTGTGGAAAGCCACAGGATCTGGAGCCAGAGCAAGAAAATTCTCTCAGAGGTTCAGTTAACTCATCTGTAAAATGAAAATGATAATAAAAAAAACCTCATGGGGACATGAATTAATTAAGCAAGTATATAAGAAATGTTTATCAAAACTTATGACGTGCTAGCCAATGTTTTTCAAACTGCGAGTCACTATCCATTAATGTGTTCAGAAACTAGCCTAATGGGTCAAAACCAGCTTTTAGAAAAACTGACATAGAACAGAATATCACAGGCACGGCATGAAGCAAGGATAAGTATTGTTTAGCAGAATTTTTGTTTTGTATAAATGTGTATGTGCTTGTAATTTGGTTGTGATGGAAAATGTATTTCTCCCTATGAGTTATGGTCAAAAGCACTGTGCTAGGCATTGTGTTAGGCACAGGAGATAAGAGAAAGCAAACAATATGGTTATATTTGAGAAGTTTACAGTCCTATAAAGGCAGTAGATGTGAAACTAGTTTTTGCAAAGATTGGTGAGGAAGCATGATCCACCCAACGGTGGAGGGATATGGTTTGAGGAGTGAGGAGATAGGAGCTGTCCAGGGTGACTGAGACCTGAGAAACTGTAACCAGGAAAAGGACTTGAGAAAGAAATGCAGGCCTTGGAGTTGGGGAAGGTGAGGAGCATGTATATGGATTCAGGTGCTTATAGGGTGTCTGCACAGTCACAGGGTGCCCTTGAGCTTGGCAGAGGTCTGTGCTGGAGGTGTGCAATGAGAGTGTGCATCAGAGTATAGATAGCAGTGGGATCTGTGGGCCTGGATGAGGCCACCCAGGGAGAAGAAGACGACTAAATCCTGTCTAACATCAGCATTTAAGGGGCTGGTCTTAAAAGGTGCAGGGACAGTCAGAGGAGGAGGATAAGGAGAGAATAGCATCTATTCCAGTGTATCTTTTTTTTTTTTTTTTTTGAGACAGAGTCTCACTTTGTTGCCCAGGCTAGAATGAGTGCCATGGCATCAGCCTAGCTCACAGCAATCTCAAACTCCTGGGCTCAAGTGATCCTTCTCTCTCACCCTCCCGAGTATCTGGGACTACAGGCATGCGCCACCATGCCTGGCTAATTTTTTTATATATATTAGTTGGCAAATTGATTTCTTTCTATTTATAGTAGAGATGGGGTCTTGCTCTTGCTCAGGCTGGTTTCGAACTCCTGACCTTGAGCAATCCGCCCGCCTCAGCCTCCCAGAATGCTAGGATTATAGGCGTGAGCCACTGTGCCCGGCCTTCAAATGTATCTTGAGCTCTGGAAAGATTGAATATGTTCTGGCAGTTCTCTTCTTGCTTTGGATAGGGATCCATACCAGTGTGGATGGATGGGAATTTTGGCCCCCAGTTGTCATTCTATGAGCTGGACAACAACAAGGTAGGCATCTATGAAACACTAAACCACTATCAAATGTAAGAAGTAGAAGCATTGTTGCTTTGATGAGGCCCTTAGATGGGGAAATGAGATTCCCCCAAGAGGCAGGCTAGCTGAGCCAGAGATGGTCACCCCAGTGCCCTTCTAAGGAGAGTAGTGCAATTTACCATGGCACTTGTGCTTTGCTGAGTGGGACTTGGAAGGCAGGGCCAGGGCTGAATTACTGGGAGCTAAGAGACCATGGCTATCAGCCATCACTCTCCACTCTTCCTCCTGCATGGCTTCACCTCCAAATGAATGGTGAGCAGATTTTTAAAGAATATTGGTTTGAAGCAGCATCAAATTTAATCTTGTCAAGGCACCAAATCTATTTCTTGCAAGAATGAATTACTGGAGGAAAGAATGAGCAAATATAAATATATTTTCTATAAATGTATCCTTTTCTTAAATTTCCTAAAACATGACAATATATTGTACAGTATTTCCAGTCAAATTCTCTTCATTTCCATGTCACCACATCCTCATTTTTCTCCTACTTATCCATTCTCCTTCTCAGTCTCCTTGAAAGGGGCAGCTCCCTATTCCCAGCCATCCCCAGCCAGGGATTAGAGGTTCTGGGGGGTGGGGGTGGTGGTAAGTCCATCAGCCTCTTCTTTTTTTTTTGAGACAGAGTCTTACTCTGTTGCCTGGGCTAGAGTGCCTGGCACAACCTAGTTACAGCAACCTCAAACTCCTAGGTCAAGTGATCCTTCTGCTTCAGCCTCCCAAGTAACTGGGACTGCAGGCATGCACCACCATGCCCAGCTAATTTTTTCTATGTATTTTTAGTTGGCCGATTAATTTCTTTCTATTTATAGTAGAGATGGAGGTCTCACTCTTGCTAGGCTGGTTTTGAACTCCTGACCTTGAGCAGTCCTCCTACCTCGGCCTCCCAGAGTGCTAGGATTACAGGTATGAGCCACTGCACCCGGCCCTCTTCTTTTCTTTATACAGCATTTCCGCAATGTGCTCTCATTCATTTTCATGGCATTAGATACCATCGGTGAGAGAATGATTTTCATATGTATATCTTTAGCCCAGACGTTTCTGCTGAGCCCTAACTTGTGTCCCCCTGCATATCTGACATCTCTGCATGTTTCACATGACCCAAGTAGATTTCTCAATTCCACCCCACCCTTATTCTTTTTTATTTTTTGAGACAGGGTCTTTGTTTTTGTCACCTAGGCTGAAGTACAATGTCATGATCATAGCTCACTGCAGCCTCAAACTCCTGAGCTCAAGCGATCCTCCCACCTCAGCTTCTTAAGTTGCTGGGACTACAGGCACAGGCCACCACCATGCCCGACTGAATAATTTTTTTTTAGAAACAGAGTCTTACTATGTTGCCCAGACATTTCCCAGGCTAGTATCAAACTCCTGGTCTCATGTGATCCTCCTGCCTCAGCCTCTTGAAGGCCACTGTGCCTGGCCACCCCACCCTTATTCTTCTCATTTCCTATCTCAGTAAATGGTTCAAACCAGAGTCCAGGAGACCTCTTCCTCTGTCCCCTTTACAATCTAATTCATTAGTACATTCTACCAATTCCTCCTCTGAAATCCTTCCTACATTATCCCCTTCTCTCCACTCCACAGCCACCATCCCTGTTCATGTCACTATCAGCTCTTCACTGGATCCTGGTTATGCATGCTGCCACTTAGAAGTTCAGGCAATGAGTTGTATGCATTTCACATTTTCTTTTTCTTCACCTGCATGATTCATAGAATTTTAACACTTCTAGCCCTCAGGTACCACAGTGTACCCATAAATAAATACATTAAAGTAAAAAGCTGCCAATAACCTAGGGAGGTGTGTGCTTTGGTTACGGCGGCCCTTTTATTTTTCGGGAAGATTTTGGCCTACACTGATGGAACTGTGCACGCTGACGTCACACAGTTGGATACCCTGTTTAGAAGGAAGACATCTGAGCAGCTCTTTCCTGGTGATTTTCCCTTCTTTTTGAGCCCCATCTTTGTGATCACATTGTACCTTTCTGGCAGATGACATTGTCAAAGACTAGCTGTTGCTCATGTGTGGGCTACCCCTGTCACTTCCTTTTTGGGGTTTGTGGGTTTCGATAACTAAGACTCCTTGATGCAGAGGTTCATCCAAGAGCCAGTCTCATTCTGCCTCCTTCCCTACTACCTGCATTTTCAGGCTATGGTATGGCTTCTTAGCCAGGGGCACTGACATGTTGGAACTGTCAGTGAAATTGAATAATTAACAGCTGGGAAATAGAACATATTAATTTTTAATTAAACATTAATTTTTAATTTCACTACTTTTTCTTCCTGCTCGAAGGAATCTTTCCCATCCAAGTAACCAAAATGGACATTAGTTTTCTGACTCAGTCTTTCTAGAAGACTGAGTCAGACAAAAAAAACTCATCATTTTTCAGTCTGCACTGATGAACATGCCAAAGCAGCTAAGTTGAATGGAAATACTATTACCTTTAGATCAGGGCAAACCTGGGTTTTAACCCCCACTTCATCAGCATAGCAAGTAAATGTCCATATAGGAGCAATATAGGTGGCAGCTCAGAGCACATACTCTAGGGTCAGACTATCTGGGTTCAAATCCCAGCTTTAGCCCTTATAAGCTGTGTGACTCAGAAGATTGGAGTGTTGGTCATGTAGTGAGGTGATGTAGCAGACCTGTTGGGACTGTGAGATCCCCAAGGCAGGACTGGTCTCATTTCTCTGTCCTGCTTAGCAGGACAACCTAGTACAGAGCAGGGAAGGGGAAATGCTCATCAAAGGATTGAATCCCCTAATCTGGCCCTTTGTATAAATTAAATGGTAAAGGACTTCACTCCCTTCTTCTCTCCTACCCTCTGCTTTATTTGTAAAATGGAGATGATGACAGTACCCATTTCAGAGGGTGGTTGTGAAGATAAAATGGGAGAATGGAAGTCAAGTACTTACCCTGGTACATAGTAAGTATTAAGTAAGTGTCCTTTTCCTTTTTTAAAAAGATATGACCTGCTTACCAAATGTTAGCTTATACAAAGCTACAGACTTAGCTAGTGGGCTGAGTTAGAATTATTAGTACTAAAAGATCTTTGATGGGTTAAACTAAAACTGCAATGAATGAGGTGGCACATATATGAGAGAATTTAAGCTCAGAAACATTGGTTATACAAATATAAGCTCTGTGTGTGTGTGTGTGTGTATGGCTTTTTTTTTTTTTTTTTTTTTTTTTTTTGGTTTGAAATCCTGTGATTCAACAAAGCTGGGGGTTTTATAAATTTAAAACACCATGTAAGCTTCTAAGAACAAAAAAAACTCATCATTTTTCAGTCTGCACTGATGAACATGCCAAAGCAGCTAAGTTGAATGGAAATACTATTACCTTTAGATCAGGGCAAACCTGGTTTAACCCCACTTCATCAGCATAGCAAGTAAATGTCCATATAGGAGCAATATAGGTGGCAGCTCAGAGCACATACTCTAGGGTCAGACTATCTGGGTTCAAATCCCAGCTTTAGCCCTTATAAGCTGTGTGACCTCAGGCAAGTTACTTAACCTCTCTGCACTACAGTTTCTTCACTGCCAAAATGAGAATCAAAATAGCACACACCTCAGAGGGCAAACCCTTCACACAGTGCCTGGCCCCACAGGAAGTGCTCAGCGTGTGTCAGTTGCCATTATTAGCAAATAGCTCTGTGAACAAGTTAATAAATAAGCCTCTTTGAGCCTTGGTTTTCTAACCTTGACAATGGATATAATACATCACAGGGTTGTTGCAAGGACTAAATGAGCAAGTATATGCGACAGTGCATGGCAAACATTGATGCGGAGTGCACGGCAGCCTCTTTCGTGATTGAAGGAAACTGGCAGCAGCTATGTCCTCCGGTGTATCAGGCACACCTGGAGTGCTGAGGGCAGAGTCGGTCTGAGTTTGAGACTCCAGACAAGAAAGGGCAGGTCTTGAGAGCAGCCTGAACGTGTTTCTCCACTCCACTATCTGGACCAACCTGGGGCAATGCCACCTGTGTGGGGGTAACTAGGAAGCAGGCCAAAAGCAGACTGGGGTGGGAGGACAGAGCCAGCTCAAGAATTACAGGGTGCAGAGTTTGGCAACAAGAGACAGGAGTCATGAGGAGAGTCTACTGAGACTCCTTTTCCATGCTGGGGCTACAGCTGGATGAGGCAGGGGCTAACCCAGCCATGCTCACCAGCATCACTCTGCTGATGGGTAGGGACAGTTCTGTGAAAACCCAGCCCTCCACCTGCTATATAAGGGGCAGGGAAGTTCTTGTTGGCCCAAAATATTTGCTAACCTTTCCCCAAAGCCTTAGCAGGGCCACAGCTTCACAGCTGGGAGGAAATCAGGAACCTGGCAGGGACCACCAGGACTTTGCCCCAGTCACTTGCTGTTGAGCTGAGGTGCTCCCCCCAGTGAAATACAAGAATATGGCATGCAGGGTGCCAGGCCCATTGGAATTTGAATCTAAACAATCATGTGCCAATCCCCACTTCCCAGTGGGGGAAATGTGGTGACTTCCTGAGCAAATGGGTCGGAGCAGAGACTCCACCACTCCAGCTGCGTGGAACTCCACCAGCAGGCTGAGCCCCACTGCTGCTCTGGCCTTGGCACATTTACCATTCAGGGTTTTATGCTTTGTCATTGCTCTTATGTCACTCCCTGTGTTTGTGTTGACCTTGGCAAGTCCCTTTCAAGCTATGTTTTTTTTTTTTTTTGGTTTTTTTTTTTTTGGGCATATTATGGGGGTACAGATTTTAAGGTTTCAATAAATGCCCATCCTTTCAAGCTTTCTGATTGCAGAAAACCCACTGGCCCCCAAACTCAAACACTTTTGTTTTCCTAGTAAAGAGGCAACATGTTCTGGTAGATGGTCTTGGGGTCTCTACTAGAGCCCTGTGTTCCAGCCTTGGCCTTGTTGGGCCTTTATCAAGTCCCTTCTTTTCTGGGTGCCCTTGTTTCCTTGTTTGTAAAATGACTGGTAACACCAGAATCAGCTTAGTCTGGGCCCTTTTTGGCCAACAACCAGGTTCCTACCCAGTAATCCCTTTCTGGCAAAAGGCAAATTGAAACAGCTTTCTCTCTTTCAGCTTAGTGTCACTGTCTCATCCCCCTGTATCAAGGATTAGGGTCTTCTTTAGGCTCAGATGGCACCCACAGGGATAAATACCCAAAGATGCCCCTGGCAGCTTAGGAAGAGGCTAGGGAGACAGGAGAAAGGATATAGAAGTAGGAGAAGAACCAAAAAAGCAGGAGGAGAAGAAAGAGGGTATGAGATGTTTAGGTAAGATCCTCATGGGCTGGGCACAGTAGCTCATGCTTGTAATCCTAGCACTTTGGGAGGCCAAGGCAGGAGGATTGCTTGAGGATAGGAGTTCAAGCCCAGCCTGAGCAACATAATGAGACCCTGTCTCTCTAAAAAAAAAATTAGCTGGGCATGGAGGCATGCATCTGTAGTTCTAGCTACTTACGAGGCTGAGGCAGGAACATCGCTTGAGCCCAGGAGTTTCAGGTTGCAGTGAGCTATGATGATGCCACTGCACTCTAGAGCTCAGGTGATAGAGCAAGACCCTGTCTCTAAGAAAAAAAAATCCCCCTGAGAGAGTTCTCAGAGGGAGGACCTGAGCCAAAGCCTCCTATCCCTCACCCAGAAGATGCTGTCCTTGCAAATGTCACACCTCCCAGCCAAGTGCTTGGGGCTAAGCTACAGTCAGGATTCAAGGACAGTCACTGCAGATCATAGCTGACCCAATTTTTCCTTGGACAGTCTCTGCCCTGCCTTAGCAAAGCTGTTCTGACTCAGGGTGCTCTATGTTTTATCACCAGGAAACGCCCAGAGGTTGTGACAGTGACCAGCTGGAAGGCACCAGTTGTGTGGGAAGGCACTTACAACAAAGCCATCTTAGAAAATTATTATGCCAAACAGAAAATTACTGTGGGGTTGACAGTTTTTGCTATTGGAAGGTAGGTGTCACTGATAAAATTGTCCTTGACTTTTTCTTGTTCCACTGTCAAAATGTTTGTGAGGGACTCATGGAGGCTTGTCTGAGTTATCAGATAGGAGACTGTTTAAGGGGGAATATTTCTGTCTCCTTTTGGTGGAAGCCCCGAAAGCCTGGGAGCAAAACAATAGTAGATGAGTCTATCCATTCCTACCTCAGAGGGATGGTCTCCAATTGCAGACAAAAATGTCCACTATATCCACTGAGGTCAGAGTCAACAGCATACCCACAAACCCCCACTTCCGGACCTCCATGGCTTCCTCTGGAAATTCTACAAGTGCCAGCTACTAGACAGTCCAGAGTGCATCATTCTTTCTGCTATGCTCTCAAAGCCCAGGACCAAGGATAGAAGGATTTACTACAAGTTCTAGGTACAGAGTGACCTAAGCACAGTGGTTTTCCATGTTGGAACACAGATGACCACTCTTCCATGGGTTCTTCAGGTCACTTTTACCTTATCCCTCCTGGAGGATTTAGCCCTCAGGTATTTGGCTGGTCAGAACTTCCTCTTCCAAAGATTGGAGAGGTTCCAATTTCAGCTTCCCTTTCCTTTTTCAGAACATTTGATGGAAAAAAAAACACAACAAACTGCAGTCATTCTTACTTGAAAGTTCTAGCTGTAATATTAATTGTTAAATAGAACACATTTTGCTTTTTTGGAGAATTTTTCAATTTTTTTTCCCAAAAACAAAACAGAAAATTTCAGTTTTCCTTTTTTTTTTTTTTTTCTTTTGTCCTCTGGGCATTTCTACCTGTACCTCTTTTGAAAAAGCCACATCGAAAGTTGATTCCATTGCCTCGTACAAAGAGTTGAAAGCTCACATTGATCTAAGCTTGAGCTTTGTCCAGGTAAGACCTAAAAGAGAGCTCTGTGAAGATCTACTAGTTCTCCAAAGATAACCTTCCCCAACCCAGAGGCCAGGAGTCATCACCGGTGCTATCGTTAACAATATTAATCAAGTTCCAACATCACTGAATGTGCTGATCCCAGGGGACTACGTGGCATCTCTAATAGTGAAGGGTGACTGTGGAGTTTTCACATTTTTACTAGAAGAATCTGCACTGTATGGGTTGGGAGCCAATGCTCTGCTCACCTAATCCTTTGGTACAAAAGGGGATAAGCCAGCCACGTTGCAGATCGATTTGATCCTGGTGTTTCCAAAAAGAACAGAATGTTGCCCACTGCCCCACGGCAGCTTCAACCATCCAGTTGCAGCTCTGCAGAGCTAAACTGTAAATTGCCCGTCCTGGTGAAAGCGCTGTGCCCTGTGCCCTCGGCTCTGAGGCAAGAGAGAACTGTTTGTACTCAGCAGCAATAAATCCCTATAAGTGGATTTGGACTTTTAGGAGGTGTGATATTTGCTTTGTTTTCTAGCAACAATGCATGGCGCCAACTACAGTGCTTAAATCTCTAAACAATGTTAAACCTCAGAGTGACTCTCCTCAGCACCCTGACTTACTCCAGTATTGTTTCCTAAGCGTCCTGGCACAATTGATTTTTCTTGAACTTCCAGAGTACTGAAGGATTTTCTGACCACCAGCTATAGTCATATCGAAGTCTCTCTTTATATTGTTCAGATACATTCTCTCCTCTGTCAACAGAAAATAGCCAAACTCTGTAAAATGATTTTAAAGAGATTTATTCTGAGCCAAATTTGAGGACTACTACCCGGAGTCACTCCCAAGGAGCTTGAGCAAGTGGACTTGATGTGGCTTACAGTTTGGTTTTATACATTTCAGGGAGGGGTTACAGGTAAAGCCACAAATCAATACGTGAGAGGCATACATTGGTTTGGTCCGAAAAGGTAGGCCATCTCAAAGCGGGGGCTTACAGGTATTAGGTGGGCTTAAAGATTCTTTGGCTTATAATTGGTTAAAGACATGAAGCTTTGTCTAAAGGATTGGAATGTTTCAACATAAGAAGCTGTTATGAGAGATAAGCCACCTGACATAGATTTGTTGTGTAAATCGAGGACCTGTAGTTTTGTCTTGCATACCCTAGGCCTGTTAATGTGTTACAAAGGATGTCCCCAAGAAGGAAGGGGGTTATGATAAGGCATGTCTGACCTCTTTCCTCCTGGCAGGCAATTTAGTTTTAAGATATTCCTTTGGCCTCAAGGGGGTCCATTCAGTCAGCAGGTGAGGGGGTGAGCCTTAAAATTTTAATTTAGTTCACACCTCTTAAAGAATCAACACTGTGGGGGTGGGGGCAGGGCGGTGGTGGCTCATGCCTGTAATCCTAGCACTCTGGGAGGCCGAGGTGGGCGGATTGCTTGAGGTCAGGAGTTCGAAACCAGCCTGAGCAAGAGTGAGACGTCCATCTCTACTATAAATAGAAAGAAATTAATTGGCCAACTGATATATATAGAAAAAATTAGCCGGGCATGGTGGTGCATGCCTGTAGTCCCAGCTACTCGGGAGGCTGAGGCAGCAGGATTGCTTGAGCCCAGAAGTTTGAGGTTGCTGTGAGCTAGGGTGACACCACGGCACTCATTCTAGCCTGGGCAACAAAGTGAGACTCTGTCTCAAAAAAAAAGAATCAACACAGTAAACCCCTGGCTTTCCAGATGCCAATATTATAATAAAAGCACACTTTATTTTAGTAGCAAAGAAAAGGAATCCTTGCATCAACAAAAAGTAAAAAGTACCCATCGTTATTACTCACAAAATGTCATGATTGACCAGTACTGTGGTCGGCAAATTAAATTTAGTCCATGTTCAGTGCACAAGAGTTTTGGGTTTGGATGAATTGTATTAAGCCATCTGATTTCTTCTTCCTCTTCCCTATAATCTCCATAGCATGGCTTCACAAGACAGTATGTAATTTGGACTTGTAGAAGAAGAGACATCAATATAATGTTTTTCAAATGAATAGTTAAACTACTACTACACACGTATTAAAATGGGCAAAATTCAGAGCACTGACAGCAAATGTTGGCAAGGACGTGAAGCAATAGGAACTCTCATTCATTGCTGGTAGGAATGCAAAATGGTAACAGCCACTTTGCATTTTCTTACAAAACAGCTGATTTGATGGTTTCTTACAAAACTAAACATATTTTACCACACAATCTAGCAATCGTTGTTCCTTGGTATTTACCCAAAGGAGTTAAAAATTTATGTCCACACAAAAATCTGCACATAGATGTTTACAGAAGCATTATTCATAATTACCAACACTTAGAAGCAACCAAGATGTCCTTCAGTAGGTGAACAAAAAAGTAAACTGTGGTGCATTCAGACAATGGAATATTATTCAGTGCTAAAAAGAAATGAACTATCAAGCCATGAAAAGACAAGGAGAAATCTTAAATTCCCATTATTAAAAGAAGCCAAACTGAAAATGCTACATACATTATGCTTTTAACTATAAGACATTCTAGAAAAGGCAAAACTATGGAGACAGTAAAAGATCAGCGGTTGTGAGGGGTTTTTTGGGGGAAGACAGGATGAATAAGCAGAGCACAGAGATTTTTAGGGCATTGAAACTATCCTATATGATACTATAACGGTAGATACGTGCCATTATACATTTATCAAATGTACATTTGATACGTTTATCAAAACCCATAGAATGTACAGCACCAAGAGTGAACCCTAATGTAAACTATGGACTTTGGCTGATAGTGAGATACAATGTAGGTTCATTACCCGTAACAAGCATGCCACTCTGGTGCAGATGTTGATGGCGGGGGTGTGGGGGCAGGAAGTATATGGGAACTCTCTGAACTTTTGGTTCAGTTTTCCCATGAACCTAAAACTTCTCTTAAGAAAAGTCTTTAAGACAAAGAAAAAGGTTAAAATAAGGTTAAATCAAAGGTTGTTTTCTCTAGTATTTGCATGGATTTTATAATGATAGTATGTAGACAATGGACTGGTGTTTTAGATGACCATTGGGAGGCTGAAAGGAAGACTGTGTAACATGAAAGGAGATTCATGTCCCATACCCATTCTCTGTATCACAGAGGAAGATAAGAGAATGCTGCTGTTTGGGCTTAGTACATCTCCAGTGGATGCAAGGGTCACATCCCCCTTGCATGTGGTCTGGCAGCAGCAACACTGGATATATATTGGGGTTTTTGAGGGAGGCTCAAGAATTAGCACCTGCTTTGTCCAGAGTCTGAACCAATTGATAAATAAGACAAAGGGGTAAATAAGGCAGATGGTAGTAAATATCACCTTTGTTACAGTTAAAGCTGGTAGGAAATATGCCTTATATCTGCAGGCCCTGGGCCTCCTAAATACTGAACCACAGAATTAGAAAGGCTTAGGCACCCAGGCACCTATGACATTAGAACTACCAGGGCTTTGGATGTGGGAATAGAGCTCATACCACTAGGCTTCTTGCAAGGCCCAAAGCAGTTGAGAACACATACTCTCTTGGACTAGCTGGCATCCAAGAGCAAGAGAATAGGAGGGACAGGGCTATGTCCAGCTGCTGTTCCAAAGTTGGCAGTCAGACAAGACATTCCACCTCCACCAGGAATGAGTGACCGAATGGTGAAGAAAAGCCCAGAGTGTTACACTAACAGATGTCCCTCCATATGAAAACACATCTGGTATAGAAAGAAATCATCCCCTTCATAACTGTGAAATACAGACAAGATGATTACAATACCATGTGGTCTCCTGCAGGAATCCCAGAAGTTAAATGTTTCCCATTCTTCTTTGTTTCAGATACATTGAGCATTACTTGGAGGAGTTCATAACATCTGCTAATAGGTACTTCATGGTTGGCCACAGGGTCATATTTTACATCATGCTGGATGACATCTCCAAGATGCCTTTGATAGAGCTGGGTCCTCTGCGTTCCTTCAAATTGTTTGAGATCAAGCCCGAGAAGAGGTGGCAGGACATCAGTATGATGCGCATGAAGACCATTGGAGAGCACATCCTGGCCCACATCCAGCATGAGGTTGACTTCCTCTTCTGCATGGATGTGGACCAGGTCTTCCAAGACAATTTTGGGGTAGAGACCCTGGGCCAGTCAGTGGCTCAGCTACAGGCCTGGTGGTACAAGGCAGATCCTGATGAGTTTACCTATGAGAGGCGTAAAGAGTCAGCAGCATACATTCCATTCGGAGAGGGGGATTTTTATTATCATGCGGCCATTTTTGGAGGAACACCCATTCAGGTTCTCAACATCACCCGGGAGTGCTTTAAGGGAATCCTCCAGGACAAGAAAAATGACATAGAAGCTGAGTGGCATGATGAAAGCCACCTAAATAAGTATTTCCTTCTCAACAAACCCTCTAAAATCTTATCCCCAGAATACTGCTGGGATTATCATATAGGCCTGCCTGCAGATATTAAAATTGTCAAGATAGCTTGGCAGACAAAAGAATATAATTTGGTTAGAAATAATGTTTGATTTCAAATTGTGCCAGATTTCTGAAATTGAGAGAGTATTATTCTGGCTGCTTTCTCAGAAAAGTAACACTTAATTTTAACTTTAAAAAAATACTAACAAAACCAAGATGACAAACACATACTATTCCTCCTTATAACTTTGAGCCTTGTAATATGGGAGAATGCATTTATGACAATCAGATGTAAATTCCCAATGATTTCTGATCTATTCTGGGTTTGGGGGAAATACTATCATATGAATCAAAAAGAACTTGGCACAGGCAAAGAAAATGCCAGAAAAACCCTACATTTGCCAGATAATGTGCTGGAGAAAAGGGTGCTAAGGGAAGTATTTGGCAACAAGATATGGTTTGAGGGAGTTGTCCCCTTGATCTCACTGTCTTCCTGTTTTTGATGGGTGTAAAGCAACATGAAATTGCTTTGTAGCAGAACTCTCAGTAAGGACACCATTTACCTTGGCCATCTTTGAAAGGCTTCAACAGCACACTGCTTCAGGCCATTTGTAGTCTATGTTCTTTTCTTATCAGGATATTGTTTGGCTTAAGTGTGAAAGATTGGTGGCAGTTCCCAGCAGATATCATGGTGGTGCATGGTCAGAGCCCCAGGGAACTCAAAGAAGCCAGTGGGTGCTCAGTGTGAAGGGAAAACAAAGCTTCCATGTGAGTTTGCCATGAAATAGCAAAGAGCGTGTGGAAGAGAGGGGCTGATCACTGTGGGGCAGTGCCAGTGCCACCCTGGAGGGACACAGGGCATGGGGTTGGTGCTTAAATACATCATGGATGCAGGCACTGAATAGGAGGCAGTGTGGAGCAGGGACTTGAATGGAAGATGCTTCTTGTTTTGTCCAAGTCATATTCCGTCTATCAGACTCTGCAACTTGTGTCTTCAGTCCTTGGTGAGGAGATGTAGATGAAGTTTTAGAAGGCAAAGGCCTGAAGTGGATTGGAAAGGCTTGCAAGGATTTCTGTTTCCAGGAACCAGGCTTTATCAGAGGACAATCAGTCATCGGACGTTCCACCATTTAGCTAGTGTAAACCTCAGGGTTCCTCAGCACATCATATGCCCACTAGGAGGGCTGGCATCAAGGAGTGGACTGGAGAAAAAGCCCTCCTGTCAAGCAACTTCTCCTTGTCCCCTGCTCCGTCTACACTATGGAAGTGTAACAATCAGATGTACTTGACAAAATGGTTAATTGATTTTATAACAGAAGCATGTGGGATAGCAATGGGAGATCTAATCAGGACTGAACAGCTTAACATTCAATTCCCTTCTCTAAGAGAAGCTATGAAATCCTACATATTATTTAAAGCAAGTCATGAGGCAAAATTTACATATGTACAAATCTTTATATTTTGCTTCGGTTCCAGTTTAGGTCATTTGTTTCCATTTTCAAGCAATTTATTTGTAAAACCATTAAAATCTTATCCCCAGAATATTGCTGAGATTATCTCATAGGCCTGCCTTCAGATATTAAAATTGTCAAGATAGCTTGGCAGACAAAAGAATATAATTTGGTTAGAAATAATGTTTGACTTCAAATTGTGCCAGATTTCTGAATCTGATAAAATGAAACTTGCATTTTTATCTACCATTTCACTGTGACTCCTACTCTTCAATTCTTGTCAACAAATCTCACAGCCAACAAAACAAACAAAAATCTTAAATTATTTGCCTTTGAAAAAGAAAAAGTAGCCCACACATCAGTTAAGAATCTTGCTTCTCTATTACTCAAATTGTTTTTGAGCCAGTTTGGAGTAGGAGACTTTAATACTTTAAGTCCTGAACCAAAGAAATGATCTATCCTGTAAGTTTAGAAAAAATAACTGATGTTTACTTCTGATTTTTCAAGTTCATTTAAATTTAAATCTCCAATGGACAAATTTAAGATCTCATATATGGTTATTAAACTTTTTTAAAAAATAAAATTCCTTATTTACAATTAAATAAATTATTTTCTCAGTATGTTTGGGTCTGGTCGTGGATTATATATTTTCTCCTAAAGATGTTCAAAATTATCAATTATAGAATTTTAAGTTTTTAGACTCAGAGTTCTCTTGCTCTTCTGAAAATGTGTCCACTATTATAAAGATAGAACAGGCTTGAGAGTCTCAAACTTTTAAGTAACAAATGCTTATATAGAGCTTTCCAAAGCAATGCACTGAAATAATTAACTGCCAGTAAAAGAATCATTAGGGGAAAAGGCTTATCCCTAAAGCCCAGGGTGGGCACAGGAAGAAAACAATACTATAACCGTATCTTGGGGTTATTAGTCCTGAACTCTGGGACATATATCTGGCCAACGGGAAAGTCTGGATTTCTAGTAGGTATATTTATAACATAAAAATTAAAAGGAGACCAGGTTGATCTAGTGAGATGCACTGAATATATAACAGGACATGATTCCCTCACAATAGAGAATTACTCCCATTTTGTAAGTGAGGAAAGTGAGGGTCAGGAAGGTTCAACCACCCAGTTGGTAAGTGGCCAAGCTGAGGCTCAAACCAGAGAAGCTCACAAGGACAGATATGTTAACACAGTACATATGGAGGGCCATGTTTCATATCAGGGAGAGTGCAACTAGGTATCTTTCCAGGCCTGTATCACCTCCCACTTTTTATGCATCAAACTTGCCCCCAAAGCATTAAATAAGTTAAAATGCATCATGTAAAAAAAAAATAAAAGATTTGGTTATCATTCTTTACATTGTGCATGGAAGGCTGACGCAAACACCATTGGCATGCACTGAGTTGCACTACAGAAGATGTGATCAGGCAAAGGGAGTGGGTTGAAGGGACAGCCATGCCTCCTTTCTTTCCACTTCCATCTGGGAACCACAGGCAGCTAGAAGGGGAAAAATTTGTTCAAGGCCTGAAGGATTTCTCTTAGTCCTTTTTTGATCTCTCCTAGCCAAAGTTACTACCATATGGGAACCTCAGCTATGGCAGTACTTATAATTACAAGTATTTATTAAATGTACTATTTATTAAATATGCCTTATGTAAATGAATAATAGGTATGATAGCATACTCACGAACATGAAAAGTCATACAGGCTGGGCGTGGTGGTAATGCCAGTAATCCCAGCACTTGAGAGGCTAAGGCAGGAGAACTGCTTGAGACCAGGAGTTTGAGACCAGCCTGGGTATCATAGCAAGACCCTATCTCTACAAAAAAATTTAGAAATTAGCCAGGTGATTGCTTGAGCCCAGGAATTTGAGGTTACAGTGAGCTATGATTGGGCTACTGCACTCTAGCCTGGGCAACAGAGCAAGACCCTGTCTAATAAAAAAAGAAAGAAAAGTGATAGAATGAATATATAACATACCATGCATACATTTTAAAGAGAGAAGAGGGTCAAGTGGGGATCCATTGGTCAAAGTCTCAGATCTGAAAGGGTGCAGAGCCAGGATTTAAACACAGGATTGTCTGACTGAATCCTGTACTCTTTCCACCTCTCCAGACTGCCTCTCTTTTTCATACACACACACACACACACACACACACACACTTTAACCATCTCGTTTTTGAACAAAGGAATCCCCATCAAAGCTCTCCTTTGTTAGGCATTAAAGAGAGGGAATTTAGTAGACTAAAAACTCTTCAAGGGTAGAATGTAGGTCTAAAGTTGGAGAAGCAAGAGCATGAAACCTAAGCAGGTATGAGGCACTGGTAAGTACAAAGGCTAAGGGAGTATGGAGGAAGGAAGGAAGGATGTCTGAGGAGGTAGAAGTAGCCAGAGAGGGGCTGGCTCTGAGCTGAGCTTTGAAAGAGAAGGGATCACTGTGAAGAGTGGATGGAACGAGGTTTCGGAGGGGGAAGCAGCAGTTGTGAAGCCCAGAATGCTGCAATAAGACTTTCACGGAAACCCAGAAAAATGGTGCTGAGGCTTTGAGACTGGATAAAATCACCTGGCAGAGCCTGTGTGAAAAGAAGCAAAGACCACATGAGGGCCTTAGCTGGTTGACCACCCCACATTCACCCAGTACTGTGGCTCTCTCTTCCTTCCCAACAATCCGTGGGTTCCTTTGGCAATCTATGTAATTTCCATGGAAACTGGGGCCATGGTCAGAGCAAGTGCTCTAAGCTAAGCCAACCAGCACTTTTCATCCCCCTGGTGGCAATGATTGATTCAGGGGTGGGCAGGTGACCTAAACTAGTCCAAACAAAGTAAATTTCAGATCTTTTAGTAGAAATGAGGAAGCATATATTACTGGGGGCTGTTAGACAACAGAAGTCTGTCTGCCTTAGGATGAAACTGACGACAGGAAAGAAAGAGCAGGGACACTGAAGGAAACCAAGTCCCTGGTGACAACTTTGAGCCACTCAAACCAGCCTTACCTAGTCTGCACAACTGAAAACATCCCCATTGAACTCCTCTAGGATTGCTAGCTCCTGAAAGGCAGGACCATAACCTGCCTTTCCCTCAGCTCCAGCACCTACCACATTACCTATCTCAGAGGCACTGCTTAACAAATATTTACCAAATGAATGAATAAATGCATGTATCAACATCCACTCCCATCATGCCTCATAAGAAATAATTTTCTTGCATTTTAAAAATATTGATTGTGAACTGTGTGTTTATTAAAAAGCTGATGTTTCAATATCTGGTACCTGGAACTTTTCCTCCTGTAGTACACAGAATGGGAACTCAGGAGTTGTAGCCTAGGCTTCAGGCTTAGGTTCTACCTCAGTGTTCCATAACGTATTAAGGTCAGCACTGCTTCAAGGTCAGTGATACATGGAATAAATTTGCTTCATGAGCATAGAGCAGTGGTTCCCAGCCTAGGAATTGCTCCCCTCCTCTTTCCTCAGGGACATTTGGCTATGGCAATGTCTGGAGACATTTTTGGTTGTCACAGCTGGTGGAATGGTGTTATCAACATCCACTGGGTAGATGCTAGATATGCTGCAAAACATCCTGCAATGCACAGGACAGCCCCCACGACAAAGAATTATCTTGTTCAAAATGTCATTAGTATTGAGGTTGAGAAACCCCAGTGTAAAGTCCTCCTGGATTTCATTGAGAAAGAAACATTGGGAACTAATATGCTTAATACCTGCCTGTCTATACCCTGGGAACAGTCTCTTGTCAGGTCCAAGAGCCTCTAACTCTGCGGTTCCCAACCCCTGGGCAAACCGGGCCTTGGCCCAGTACCAGCCTATTAGGAACCAGGCTGCGCATCACCACTTGAGCTCCACCTCCCTGCTCCCTCCCCTCCCCCATTCATGGAAAAATTATGTTCTATGAACACGGTCCCTGATGCCAAAAACATTGGGGACCGCTGCATAACTCCCCTCCTTGTACCCCATTAACATTCACAGCTAACACAAAAGTAGTTCCTGATACTGGACACCAGAGGGCAGAAATTTCCAAAGATAACCTTGTTATCCTTAGCGACTTCAGTGATTTAAAACATCTTTTTCTGGCACTAGTGAAGACTATGCCCATTTGTAGAATTAGATATTAATTTGACATATAAGGGAAAATGGCTATAAATATTTAAAAGGTGTATCTGTGAAAAATCAGCCAAAATTAGAACATACTTTTAGTGAATTGGCTGTAATTGTTCACAGTAAGAGGTTAGGTGTTTTAAAGATAGTTTGGTTGCAAGGAGCTGTCTAAACCCCAAAAGGAGTTTATTGGGAGGCTACTGGAGAGTTCCACTGAATACAAGGCAGAGTTGACAAGCAGGCAGTGGCATGCTGAAGCCAGCTCCTACTGGCTTGTCAGAGCTTACAAGCAGTACTTCCCAACTCCCTGTTCAATGACATCATTGTAGTAGCCTGAAACAGACCATAGTGGGAGTATTTACACCAGAATCAGCAAACGCTAGAAATACAAGGGCTCTTTTCCTTTCTTTCTTTTTTTTTTTTTTAAAGAGTCAGCTGTTAAAAATTTACCAGCATGTCACTACAACCACGCCATGAGCAAGAACCAGAGAAGCTCAGGGCCTCAACAGCTGAAAATTATGAACTCCCCCTAGAAGTCTGCCATTAATATGACCCAGCTCCAACTATCTCCAGTCTCGGGGTTTCTTCCTTCAAAACTCTAAATTCCTAGAAAAGAACACGCAAACGGGCCAGGCGCAGTGACTCACGCCTGTAATCCTAGCACTCTGGGAGGGCGAGGCAGGAGAATCGCTCAAGGTCAGGAGTTCAAAACCAGCCTGAGCAAGACTGAGACCCCATCTCTACTATAAATAGAAAGAAATTAATTGGACAACTAAAAATATATAGAACAAATTAGTCAGGCATGGTGGCACATGCCTGTAGTCCCAGGTACTCAGGAGGCTGAGGCAGGAGGATCACTTGAGCCCAGGAGTTTGAGGTTGCTGTGAGCTAGGCTGACACCATGACACTCTAGCTCAGGCAACAGAGTGGGAATGTCTCAAAAACAAAAACAAAAACAACCACACAAACAATACAGCACCACTCCTGCTCTCAGCAGCTGTGCCTTAGCATAGATTTACTGAAGGTGATTACACTATGGAGAAGTTCTCAGAGGAGGATATAGCACTGTGAGCTGGGTATCTACACTCTAAAAGTCTCTACCACTTTCCACTATGTCTGCCAATTACTTCTTCCCATATATCTAAAATATTCCCATGATCCAAAATGTTATATACTACTCCAGCACAGCCCCCTCTCCTAGTAGCAGATCACAGAAATCCACAGGTAATATCATAGGGCCAGGCTTGTTAGAATCCACTTCTCCAGATATTAACCATTTCTCCTTTGGCCACTTAGCTCATCTGACTATTCTGCAATCTATGAAATAAATGGTAAATTTTGCACACACCCAAACACACTACAGTCAATACTGAAAGACAAAGAAGAAAAAGGGGGAAAAATTATAGCAACTGCTATTTAAAGGAGGGAAATGATGGTTACCTGCTCAAGGGGCATTCCCTTGCTCTGGAATTCAGTGGGTCTCGCTGTAAGTTTTCTGTCAAGGCTAGTCACAATCTTTATCCACCATCCAGTCTGCTTCTGACTCATTCAACTATGTAAGATATGACTGGTCGTAAGGGTCATGGCAGGGTAACTTGCCTACAACCTGAACCAGTCGAAGAGCTTTCTCTTGACCTGGGTCCCACTGGAAGCTCACTGTTTTTATATTTATCAGGTGAATAGGAGGCAGCTGGACAGCCACACGTGTGGGACATTGCCTCCAAAATCCAAAGAAGCCCACAGGAATTAGTCCTCTTTCTTAGTCATAGGAGACATGAAGCACTGACTCTCAAACTTGGCTGTACCCTAGAATTTCCTGGGGAGCTAATATTGATGTCTGGGTCCAACCCAGAGATTCCAATTCAATTGGTATGAAGTGAAACCTGGACATTGGGATGTTCACAAGTTTCCCAGGTGATTCTAGTATGCAGAAACTTTGAGAACCACTGGCATAAAATACAGCAAATTGCCCTGTGATTTCCTAGGTAGGTTTTCTTTGTATTTTTATTGTTTGGGATTTGCTAAACTTCTTGGCACTGTAAGTTTATAGCTTGCTTTTAAATCAAATTTTGGAAATTAAAAAAAAATTTTATTTCTGCTACATTTTCTCTCTTCTCTGTTTCTGGGAATCCAATTATATACATGTTAGACTGATTGATATTGTCTCATAGGTCACTGAGGTTTTGTTTATTAATCACTTTCTTTTTTAAAAGGGATGATTAACATTGATTTACCTTTCATTTCACTGACCTTTTCTTCTGCAGGGTTCAATCTGCTTGTAAATCCATCTAGTTATATTTTTATTGCAAATATTGTACTTTCAAAGTTCTAGAATATCCATTGTTTTTATAGCTTCCATTGCTTTGCTGAGAATTCCTACCATTCATTCATTTTGATACAATTTTCTATTAAATCCTTAAACATTTTCATAATCGCTGCTTTAAAGTTCTTATTTATTACTTCCAACATGTGGGTTATAGTGGTTTCCTGAGTAGGAGATAGTATTGACTCAAAGGGGCCTAAGGAAAGTTACTGGGGTCATGGATATGTTCTGTGTTTTCATTTAGGTGGCTGTTACACTCATATGTATGTGTATAACAAACCCAATGAAATGTACACTTAAATTATGTTTTAATTCATGCCAATTATACCTCAACTTAAAATTTATTATAACGCTTTTAAAACTCCCCCCCAAAACAAAGGGAGCTTAAAGGATCCTTCACTTTTTAAAAAATGGGACAAAATCTAGTCCTCTGGTACTGACAAAGAGAAGCTACTGGCATATGAATTGTTATGATTGAGAATATCTACTTATTTCATCATCAAAAGAGAATCTGATGACATCATCATTCACAGAAGACTGAAATAATAAACACACAAACTGGAGAGTCATAGAACCTAATTAGTATCTGATTCATGATTTTTCAAGGGCCTCAAAATGTCCTGCTTAAGATTCTCTACATGTCTTCTTAAACTACTATACCATAAACGTTAAGAGTCTCCAATGAAGAATCTGTTTAAAATTCCTATATGATTTTAGGAAAACAAAAGGTAAGACATTGTCCTTACTTTCAACCAAATTGAGCCATATCTACTTCCTTTTCTGCACACAGACAATTTTATAGTGCATAAATAACACAAAGGACTGTTGTAACTTTGATGCCAAAAAATCCAAGGTCATTGCACAGATAACCTAAAAATTACACTTGAGCCTCCAGCCTGTGCTCTGAATCAATTTGATATTCAAATATTTTTGATAATGGGCATATGTTTTATGCTTTCTGTCTTTTCTTTCTTGGAATGATTAACTTCATAATATCATGTAACTAAAACTAACAACTTCCTTCATAAATCTACAACTCTATTTAGAGTCCAGGTAAGTATTTTCATAATTATCTCTTTTCACTGACACCCCCCGTCCCTACAAGTTAGGCTGGGAAGTGGCATTTCTACATTTCTTTTCTGCAAGTAAAACCCTTTATAATTTAGAAAAAACAAATGAAGGTTATGAGATCTCTTGCATCAGGGCCAGCTAAGACCAGCTAATGTCCTAAGACTTTCTGCAGCTAGCTCAAATAAAACCAAATGTGTCCACAGACTCAACTCTATTGTCATATAGACAGACATCCAAAGAGTAGCAATATCTTAATTGCTAGTCGATATCTGCTAAAGCATCTAGTTTAAGTCACAGAGAAGCAGGCTTTATCACAGCTTATTGTGTATATACTGTACTTTATTTAATCTATGTTCTTCTGTTTATTTTTCCTCCCAGGAAAGGATGATATACACAAGAAAAATAATTCTATTGTTATTGATTTTATTTTCTCTATGGGCATTGCGTAGTGAGTATTATCTCAGGTAACTATAAAAACTTAATGATTTTTTTTCTGATGTTTGGTAAGGATCTGGTATGTCAAAAAGGTGATAATCTTAACCCCTGAATAAATCAGCATCTGAACATCTCAATCCAAATATACCCAAATGATATCCAATTATATCAGTATAAACATAGTCTTCAGCATCCAAATCCTTTTGTTGCTAGTGGGATTGTGGCTAAAGATAATTTTTGTAGACGCATAGCTTCTCCCATGAGCAGAAGCTATATTAAGCTACTAGTTACTGTGGCAGTGTAATATTAGTAAATGTTACAGAGAAACTACCATTTTAAAATAAGTGGCATCTTCTTTAAGAAACATCTCTGATGTTGATGACTTCAGACACTACATACAGTATTTACCCTCTCCAAATTGGAGGCATGTAGAAAGACTTCATTGGCAATTAGCAAGTTTCACTGTTCTAATGATATTAAGCTTCTCTTTTGTGTCTCAAAGAATTAGATTGTGGCCGGGCGCGGTGGCTCACGCCTGTAATCCTAGCTCTCTGGGAGGCCGAGGTGGGCGGATCGTTTGAGCTCAGGAGTTGGAAACCAACCTGAGCAAGAGCGAGACCCCGTCTCTACTATAAATAGAAAGAAATTAATTGGTCAACTAATATATATAGAAAAAATTAGCTGGGTATGGTGGCGCATGCCTGTAGTCCCAGCTACTCGGGAGGCTGAGGCAGAAGGATTGCTTGAGCCCAGGAGTTTGAGGTTGCTGTGAGCTAGGCTGACGCCATGGCACTCACTCTAGCCTGGGCAACAAAGTGAGACTCTGTCTCAAAAAACAAAACAAAACAAAACAAAACAAAAGAAAACAAACAAAGAATTAGATCGTGGATGTTGTTGTTTTTAAGATATAGCATATGAGGTCCTTAATTATAATGATTCTTATCATGTTTATTATTAATCTCTATAACCAACAATGTACCTGGAATGTAGTATGTATTTGGTAATATTAGGAAACAGAATAAATGGATTGATGGATTCTAGCTCTAGTCATGTTATATGTGGAAAACCTTTATATACATTTAAAAGTAATATAATGCTCTTCATTTATCCTAAGAACAAAGGAACTACAGAGGATGTATCACTGCTGGTAAGTCTTTATTTCCAAATATTTTCTGACCACTTCTTTGAGAACAAAACTGGTTGGAGGGAATGGAGTGCCTGTGGGTCCTTGATTCCTTCAGGCAGAGTAAACCAAAGCAATTTTACAAACATGTTGGAGACAATTCGCTTAACGTAAGAACACTAGAAACCTAAGCCAGAGTAGACTGGAGAATGCCATCTCTGACAGAGAAGTAGGAACTTGTTCTGAAACATATTACAGAAGCCAAAACACAGCTCTAAGGAACCTTAGGTCTTTTAAAGCTCTGGGCAAACACATAGAAGTAAAGACTTGGCTGGAAGACTCTCAGGAGACTGTATTAACCACTATACAAATTATGCCATCAGGATGTGTCCAGGGAGGAAAACTTTTCTTTTCTTTTTTTTTTTCAGCGTATTATAGGGGTACAAATGTTAAGGTTACATATATTGCCCATACCCCCACCCCCACCCCCCTTGAGTCAGAGCTTCAAGTATAGGGAGGAAAACTTTCCCAAAGATTTTGCAAGATTCAATATTAAAATACATTCTTCCATTTCTTCTTCTTCTTCTTTTTTTTTTTTTGAGACAGAGTCTCACTTTGTTGCCCAGGCTAGAGTGAGTGCCGTGACATTAGCCTAGCTCACAGCAACCTCAAACTCCTGGGCTCAAGCAATCCTACTGCCTCAGGCTCTGGAGTAGCTGGGACTACAGGCATACGGCACCATGCCCGGCTAATTTTTTCTCTATATATTAGTTGGCCAATTAATTTATTTCTATTTATAGTAGAGATGGGGTCTCGCTCTTGCTCAGGCTGGTTTTGAACTCCTGACCTTGAGCAATCCGCCCTCCTCAGCCTCAGCCTCCCAGAGAGCTAGGACCATTTCTTCTTATAGTTATGGGAACCCACATAGAGAAATGAAGAGCAGCTTTCTTTCTGATGCTTGTTGTGTGCAGGAGCTTTGTCTCTCTGATGATTCTATGATTTACAACATTCCCCACTAAGACCATGACTTATCTACCTGGTTGAAGCTGGGTGAACTATGCCATGCATTAAAACAATATAATAATAAGGTATGTTTCCCCTATATATAGCCAAGGCTAACAGGGGACAATAACTTTCAACTACCTGAAATCAATAGGAAAATCCCTAGGCAAAGATGAGAACATTCAAGGAAAGTCAGCTGCAGCAGAAACTGGGAGAATAAATAGAATAAAATGTTTTCTGGCAAATGTGTTTGATGTAATACATTCAAACAATAGTTCTATTATTAATTTCTCCTTAGCATTAGGATTCTACAGCCTTAACATACTAACACTCACCATCCAAAGGCACAGCTATCAATGGTAGTAGATGTTTGAATAGAATGCCATGTCTTAGTCACACCCCTAACATTGAAGTTACTCCTATCTGTGTGCATAGAATAAAGACAGTCTCATGACATATGACTCAGTTCCACAGCTGCCAATGCCTTCATTAACTCAGCCCAGGATCAACTCTCAAAAGGTGTCCTAGCTCGATAGCCAGACTGCCATTAGTATATAGTGAAGAGGAAGAGAAAGGACTACGGAAAAACTGTCTTTCCATTTACTGTGTGACTCTGGACAAGACGATGAAAGTTCTTTGTGCCTCAGTTTCCTTATCTGGTAGAACAGGGATAATAAGAGTGCCAATCTCATCTGGGTGCTGTGTGGATTAAATCAGATAATACTAAGGAAAGTATTCAGTAAGTATTAGCTATTAATGAAGTGACTCTAACTTCATCTAGCAGATTAGGGAGCACTTCCCTTAGGAAGGGATATTTAAAGTGAGATCTATGTAGGCTATGTAGGAATTAGCTGGATGAAGTTGTAGCATGCTTAGGGAAATTAAAAAAGGCCAGTGAGCCTGGAAAATTATAATGATAAGGGCTTGATAGGAGATGCAGCTAAAACTGTGTAAAGGGCCAGGTAAAAAACAGAATAATGACATGGCGAGAGTGGAGCTTCAGAAACATGATATTGGAAGCAGAGTTGAAATACAGAGAATGAGTTTAAAAAGGGACAATTCAAAGACAGGCAGAGAGGGCAGCACACCTTGTTATTAATAATTCTGGAGGATGGGAATATGGAGGTTCATTATATTAGTCTATATACATTTGTGTGCCTTTAAGATTTTTCATACTTCAAAGTCTTCTTTTAAAGCATACAAACAGTGAGACCAATTAGGAGGCTATTGGAGTAGCCCAGACAAGAAATGATGGTGGCTTGAAGTCATATAGCGGCAGGGAATGGAGATAAGTGATGGACTTGAGAGATTCTCTGGAGGTTAAACCAACAGAATTAATGATGGATTTGATGTCAGGATTTAGGGAGCATTCTAGTATAGAATTGACTCTCATGTTTCTGCCTTGACCATCCAGGTGGATCCAGTGAGATAATGCACCATCTGAAGGGCAGATATTCTTGGGGAGAGATGATGACTAACATTAAACATCTTCATTTTGTTGTGTCGGCGAATGCAAGGAGAGAACTTCAGAACACAGTTCTATATTCAAGTCTTAAGTTCATGGGAGAAGTCTAAGTTGTATGTAAAAATTTGAAGCCATAGGATGTGACAGAAGAGAGTGTCACATGATAAAATAGAAAGGCTAGGGGAAACTCTTCTGAGAATAAATGTCAAATCAAGGCTCCTGAGCAAATAGGATATTTAAGGCTAACCTTAGACAGAAAGTAGGGTTATATTTCCATTGTGAAAGAAGGAAAAAAAAGCCTAGTGCTACAGGTAAATCTGGAGGAAAGGTGGCAGAAAGTTAAGAGAGCTTTTATCTGATGGCTGCTATTTTCTCTGTGAATTAGAAAAATGAGAATGAGAACTATGGAAACATCAAATTTTCTGACAGCACAGAAAAGTAAGTTTAGTTTGGAAACCATGACTTTTCTGTGCCACCACCATAAAAATTCCTCAATATTCTTCTCACTGCTTCACTCATTTTTAATTTTGTATCTTATAATACTGCCCATGACTTGATACTCAATTATTTCAAACTCTAGCAGACATAGCATGACTATTTGCATTCTTTGTCCTTATAGGTCTCAGAAAAATAAACCAGAATTACAGCTGTCAGACTGGTTTCATCCCATGTAAGAATCCAAATCTTGCACATGTGAGATTAATCCATAGAAGTTAATAGATAGCAACAATATCACTACTGGTATTCCAAATGTTGGAGAGTAGATAGGTCTTTGATTACAACATTTCAAAAACTAAGCAGTGGCCAAGACCCACTGGGGCTGAACATTTGGACCCACATTCTCCATGAATGAGAGTTTCAATTGCATAAACTCAAAGGTCCTAGGAGGATGGCAGGCTAAAAGTGTGAGAAGGTATTTGAGATGATTTGTTTGATTCTCCTCACTTCACCAATGAGAGACCTAAAGCCCAAAGGGGACAGGTGGGCTGTCTACGCATTTCCTATTTTTAGTCCAACAGTCTTCCTCTCTACTTCCATATGCTCCCTCTACCCTCTCATCTTTCACCCCAATGCTATAGGCTTTAAGGAATTCCCCTAATTAAAACTTTGAAAGGAGACATCCAGGTTCAGATCATGATGGATAATGGTCCATGATTCATCTCATAATATCATAACATTTGTCAGAGTCCAACTAGGCCACTGAAAGCACACCAGTTATTTAAACAGAGAGTTGTTAACCAATATAACGTTGTTAACTAGGTAAGGAAAAGACTGAAAAGAGGACTCTAAGGGATCATGACAGTAACAACTACAGGAACTAACTATTCCTCCTAGGACTGAAGAAACAAAAGGAAGAGGCTGGAATTGTTAAACATTAGAAATTTAGAGAAGAAGCTCATGGAGCTTAAACTCTGATGCCACTCGACTGGTGCTGGTGTCTCTGAGCTCTATGGAGGCCTCTTGGAGCTGGGATCCATACCTCTAAGGAGAGGCACAGAGAGGCTGGTCTTTTTAAGTGTTGGAAAAACTGAAAACTAGATTCATCTGCTGTTCTGGAAATGAATTGCTATTGTTGAGGTGAAGAAGCATTGCTGGGGTGGGACTTACAGGAATGGGAAGCAGACAAGAAACTTACGGAAAATAGGAAAGAACAAGTTTCTTCCTCCAGCCTTGTAATTTTCCTCCTGTGCCCTCTATTAGCAGAGTCTAACAGGGTACCAGCTAGCAAAGGAGAATGTGGTTTCAGAGTTCCAGCCCTAGGATAATAAAGCAGAATATAGCATTGTGGGTTTAGTTATGAAAGACAATAGCTTAATCACTGGCACAGCATCCCACTAACAAGATAAGTAAGGTATATTCTAGTAATTCAAGGTGATGATTCATCACAACAATTGGACAAAGGAGAAAACTACATAATCATTTTAATAGATCTAAATAGGCTACTGATATTGTTCAATTCTCATTGCATTTTTTCTTAATTACCATCAATACTGAACATCTTTTCATATGAATATTGGCCACTTGGATATCCACTTTAGTAAAGTGCCAGTTCAGATCTCTTCTTTTTCTTTTCCTATTGGATTTTAGTACGTGTTATTCACAATGTTGTGCAACTATCACTACCGTCTTTACCACACCAAAAAGAAGCAGTTAACTCCCCATCCTCTTATTCCCCTAGCCCTTGGCAAACACTAATCTGATTTCTGTCTTTATGGATTTTCTTATTCTGGCCATTTCATATGAATGAAATACAATATGTGGCCTTTTGTGACTGCCTTCTTTCACTTAGCATGTTTTCGAGGTTTCAAGAAACTTGTAGCAGAATAACTCCAATCTCTGCCTCTGTCTCCACATGGCTTACTTCTCTGTCTCTCCTCTGTGTATCTTTTTGTCATCTTATAAGGACACTTGTTATCAGATTTAGGGGCCACCCTTAATCAGTATGACCTTATCTTAACTAATTACATCTACAAAGACTCCATTTCCAAATTAGATAACATTCCAAAGTTCTAGGTGGATTTGGGAAAACACTGTTCAACCCACTACATGTACGGATTATATTAAACCTGTAGATCATTTTGGGGTACACTGCCATCTTAACAATAAAGAGCCACAATCCAATCCATGAATGTGGATGTCCTTGCATTTATTTATGTCTTTAATTTCTTTCAAGAATGTTTTTAGTTTTTGTTGCACAAGTCTTATGCCTCCTTGGTCAAATATTTTTCCTAAATTTTTATTCTTTTGGATGCTATTATTAATTTCATTTTCAGATTGTTCACTTCCAGTGTATGGAAACACATGATTTTTCCATGTTGATTTTGTGTCCTGCAACATCTATTAGCTCTAATTGAATTTTTTTTTTTTTTTTTTGACACAGAGTCTTGCTCTGTTGCCCAGGCTGGAGTGCTGTGGCATCAGCCTAGCTCACAGTGACCTCAAACTCCTGGGCTCAAGCAATCCTCCTGCCTCAGCATCCAGAGTAGCTGCAACTACTGGCATGTGCCACCATGCCTGGCTAATTTTTCTATTTTCAGTTACCTAGCTAATTTCTTTCTATTTTCAGTAGAGGTGGGGTCTTGCTCTTGCTCTTGCTCAGGCAAGAGCTCTCTGTCTCAGACTCCTGACCTCAAGCGATCGTCCTGCCTCGGCTTCCCAGAGTGCTAGGATTACAGGCATGAGCTACTATACCTAGCCTGGGAGCATATATAATTCTTATATTGTCCTGATGAATTGATCCTTTTATTATTAAATAATGCCCCTCTTTGTCTCTTTTTACAGCTTTTGACTTGAAATCTGTTTTGTCAGCTTCTCATGCTCATTTTTGGTTCCTATTAGCATGGAACATCTTTTTCCATCCCTTCACTTTCAGTCTATGTGTGTCCTTACAGGTCAGGTGAGTTTCTTGTATACAGCATATAATTGGGTCTTTTTTTTTTAAATCAATTCAGCCAGTCTATACCTTTTAAGTGGGAAATTTAATCCATTTACATTCAAGATTATTATTGATAGGTCGAAACTCACTCCTGCCATTTTCTTGATTGTTTTCTGTTTGTTTTGTGTATCCTTCATTCCTTACTTCCTCTTTTATTGTTTATTTTTGTGACTGGGTGGTTTTCTGTAGTGATATGGTTGGATTCCTTTCTCTTTCTCCTTTGTATATATAAATGTGACTTGGAGAAGACCTATTTAGGTTGAATCTATTTGAGGTCCTTTGAGCTTCCTGGACCTGGATGTCCATCTCTCTCCTAAGATTTGGAAAGTTTTGTGCTATGATTTCATTAAATATATTTCCCTTAACTTTTCCCTTCTCTTCTCCTTCTGAAATGCCCATAACATGAATATTTGTTCATTTAATGGTATCCCATAAATCCTATAGGCTTCTTTCATTCTTCTTCTTCTTTTTTATTTATTTATTTATTTATTTATTTATTTATTTAGTCTGTGTTATTTCAAAAGACCTGTCTTAAAGTTCAGAAATTCTTTTTCTGCTTGGTTGAATCTGTTTCTGAAGCTCTCAATTATATTTTTTATTTCAGTCATTGAATTCTTCAGCTCTAGGATTTGTTTGGTCTTTTGAAATTATCTCTAGCTCTCTGTTGAATTTCTCATTCAAATCTTGAATTGTTTTCCTGATTTCATTGAATTGTCTATCTGTATTCTCTTGTATCTTGCTGATTTTCCTTACAGTTATTATTTTCAGTTCTTTTTCTGACATTTCATATATTAATATTTCCTTATGATTGGGATCTATTACTAGAATTATTGTTTTCCTTGGGAGGTGTCATGTTTTCTTGCTTTTTCATGTTTGATGTGTCCCTACATTGATTTCTATGCATCTGATGGAAAAATTGTCTCTTCCAATTTTATGAAGTAGGTTTCAATGGGAAAGACTTACTCATATGAATGGGTCTTGGAGTGTCATTTTGGTGGGGTGCACTGGCCTTGTTCCTAGGTGGATGTAGTAATAAAGTCTCCTTGTAATCCACACTAGTGGTGTTTGTAAGTTTCTCAGTGGCTTAGGCTTTTTCCCACAATAGGAAGTCTCTCCTGACTCCAGGAAGATCTAATCCAGGCAGGGGAGATGGGGCTGCAGAGGGCATATGCTTCCATGCTGCCCTCCTGGACTTCCAGTTACTATAGGTGTATCTCCACTCCACTGCTGCACTCCAGCACTCTCCCTTTGACACTCTAGTCAAATATTAGCTGTTTATTCACTGCCTTGGTCCTTTTTTGTGGGGGAACGGATGAACACCAGGCATCTCTAGTCAGCCATATTGCTGATGTCACTTTCTAATCTTTTTCTCTTTATTGATAATCTCTATCATTTGAGACATTATTTTCTTGGTTATGTTATGATTATGAACATTATGTTCATGGTTTCCTTTAGTTCTTTGAACAAATTTAAATTAGTTAAAGTTTTTATTTAGTAAATACAATGTCTGGGCTTCCTTGAGGACAGTTTCTATGAATTTTTTTCCTGTGAATGGGCCATACTTTCTTGTTTATTTTCATGCCTCATGATTTCTTTTCTTTCTTTTTTTTTTTTTTTTTTGAGACAGAGTCTCACTTTTGTTGTCCTGGCTAGAGTGAGTGCTGTGGCGTCAGCCTAGCTCACAGCAACCTCAAACTCCTGGGCTCAAGCAATCCTACTGCCTCAGCCTCCCAAGTAGCTGGGACTACAGGCATGTGCCACCATGCCTGGCTAATTTTTTCTGTATGTATTAGTTGGCCAATTAATTTCTTTCTATTTATAGTAGGGACGGGGTCTCACTCTTGCTCAGGCTGGTTTCGAACTCCTGACCTCGAGCAATCCACCCGCCTCAGCCTCCCAGAGAGCTAGGATTACAGGCGTGAGCCACCACGCCCGGCCTTGGGCCTCTCCTTCAATGTTTGGGCCAGTTGTTCACAATTCTGCCTTAGCCTTAACTTCCTGCTTACACTGATCGTAAACATCAGCCAGAGGTGAAAGTTTAGAGTCTTCTCTCATCTTTTCTGAGCACATATCCTGCCCTGGAACTTGCATGAATTTCTAAATATCTCATTATACATAATAGGTTGTCTAATCCCTTATTTTCCAAGGTAACTCTCTTCCCAGGTTTTCCTCCCAGGCTTTCAGCATCTTAAGTGTTTTCCTCATCTGTAGTCTTTTGCATGGTGGCAGGCACTTGTTTCTCTTTAAAATGTGTTCAAAGAATACCCTCTGCCTAGCCACTTTTCCACCCAGAGAGATCTGAGTTAGGTGAAACAAAGGAAAGTGCTTTGTGTCAGTCCTTCAGGGAACCCTCAGGCATGTCGGAACAGACAAACACAGTTTCTTGAGAATAAGGTCCATTCTGCTCCCTCCAGAACCAGATATTCACACTGGGAACATAATCTGCTATCTTCAATACTGCTGACACTTTGGGGAGGGAGTTGGGTCAAGGTTAAGTTAAAATACCACAAAGTTTTCCTATTTCTACCATGTTGAGTCATCTTTTTCTTGATTTAATTTTTACCTGGTTGCTCTAAACCTTTGACTATTTTCCAGAGTTTTCACAAAGTTGATTCTGATAGTATGCAGCAAAATTAGTACTGACAGCATTTCAGATTATGAAAACTGGGAGGGTCACTTTAAAAAATATAGTCTTTGAAAATAAAGTCAAAAAACCTAAGACCTAGAGGTTTTGGCTAAACATAAGAGAAATTATTACTTTAATATTTTGGGACACATTTCAACTATGTGTCCTGAAAGATCTTGGAATCACAATATAAATAATCTATAAGTGTAATTTTGTAATGATCTGGCCATTTTTTATATACTGTTTCTCTAGTTTGTCATAACCATCAAGGCTTTGGGTTAGGTGTAAGGAGATGCTGCAATCAGATTCAGGCTTTATGAATTAATATCTCCTGCTGTTTTATTTTGTATTTATAATGTATTTTGTTCAAAAATGTTATGTCTTTCCTACAGTGTACACACGAACTTGACTATTACTGAATGGTCAGCTCCAGTTGTGTGGGATGGCACTTACAATGAGTCAGTCTTGGAAAATTATTATGAAAATCATAAAATTACTGTGGGGCTGACTGTGTTTGCTGTGGGAAGGTAGGTACATTCAGGCTTACATTCAGGCTTTTTTTTTTTTTTTTTTGAAACACAGTCTCATTCTATTACACCCGGTAGAGTGCAGTGGTGTCATCATAGCTCACTGCAACCTCAAATTCCTGGGCTCCAACGATCCTCCTCCCTCAGCCTCCTAGTTAGTAGAACTAGAGGTGTGTACCTAGGTAAGTTTTCCATTTTTAGTAGAAACAGGGTCTCACTCTTGCTCAAGCTGGTCTTAAATTCCTGAACTCAAGCAATCATCCCCCCTTGGCCTCCCAGAGTGCTAGGATTACAGGGATGAGCCACCACACCTAGGCACATTCAGGCTTTTTACTATAGAAAATGGGAGGTAACATACTGAAGCACCTCATAATTTTATTTAATAATTATTCTCTGCAGGTCAATTCCTTCCATCATTTTAAATATCATCATTCACTTGGTCCACTCAAAAAAAACTCCAACTCCTCAGTTTCCTTTCTGTTATCTGATATTAAAATCCTCTCCCAACATGAACTTAATTTCCTGGGTCTCTTGACAGACATTTAAAATATCTTTTGTTCCTTCATAAGTTTGTGTCTCTGTTATAGCCATTCTTCATTGTCTTTACATTGAGTCAACCCAATAATTTGCTCCCTCAAGTGCTTTACCCAAGTCATAAACTACTTTCTGATAAACTTACTTAAGTGTACTTATTGACCCTTCACAGGAACACTGTTTCCATATATAACAAGCCAAGGTAACTGCAATTGTCTGTAAAGGAATTTTTACCTTCTACATTTTCTGACCACCAGTCATAATACAAAAAATAAAAAGAGAACATAAAAATCATCCAGTAATTTAAAAATAAAAGCCAATTTATTTTTAATTCCTAATCAAATAGAAAATCAAAACCATTAAAGTAGACTCTGAAAAAAATCACAATGAAATATTGTCATTTAAAGATGGATGGCCCTTATTATGCTGAAATAAATTTTAAAAAAGAAAAAAAAAGACGGATGAATACCACCATTGCATTGATCTCCTATCTTCTGAAACTCTACAAAGATAATAAATATAGATAAAAAGAAGAAAGCTTTAAGGTCAACAAATCTAGGAAATGTTTCAAAGTAAACATTTAACTTTGAAGATTATATGCCAATTCTAAAAGTTGGACCTAATTGGAGAAGACATCAAATTGGATGTATACATCTACAAACTTCATAGTGTGCAGTGAATGTTCAAGACAGGTTGAACAATCTCCCAAAAACCTAGCTGACCATCCCTTATCTAGAGTGGTGAGATCTAGGGGCACAGATAGACCATAATGGTATCCATTCAGGTACCCCATATCATGATGGTGTTGTGGCTGAATGGAGACAAATTGATTCATAGCATTTATGTTCTCCCAAGGTCAGATGATTTTTCAATATTATCATATTTAAGCAGTTCCACTCTCTTTTTTCTTTGACACACCCTCTTTACTAATGTATGAACTTAGTGCTATAACAAACATATATATAATAGTCCACCCAACAAATACACATTTTTCTGAAGTATACATGGAACAATCTTCAAGATAGACCATATTGTAGACTTCAAAAGTCTCAATAAATTTTTCAAAATTGAAATATAACCACTTTTCTTTTATGACTACAACAGAATGGAATTAAAAATCAATTATAGAAGAAAATCTGAAATATTCACAAATATGTGGAAATTAAACAACATACTCTTAAACTTCCAATGGGTCAAAGAATAAATCACAAGGAAAATTAAAAAATAAGATGAATGAACAAAAATACAACATATTAAATTTATGAAATGTAGCAAAAGCAGTGCTCAGAGGGAAATTTAGAGCAACATTAAAAAAGAATAAAGATCTTATATCAATAGCCTAATCTTCAGGAACTAGACAAAGAAGAGCAAATTAAACCTAAAACAAACAGAAAAAAATAGGCAATAAAGATTAGAGCAGAAATAAATAAAGAATTTTTAAAAAATAGAATAATTAAAGCCAAAAATTGTTCTTAGAAAAAGATCAGCAAAGTTGACAAACCTTTGAAAAAAAATTGAGGGACATTTTACAAAATATCTGAGCAAGACTATTCAAAACTGTCAGGGTCATGAATAACAAGAAGAGAAACTGACACAGATAGGAGGAGACTAAAGAGACATGAAGACTAAATGGAATGTGTGAGCTGGATTGGATCATGGAAACTAAAAAAGCCATTGGAGGAAAAGTAGTAAAATCAAAATAAAATCTGTAATTTAGTTAGTAGTACTTTACCACTAATAATGTCCTAGTTTTGACAAATGTGCAATGGTTACATAAGATGTTAATGTTAAGGGAAGCTAAATGAAGGAGCTCTCTATCATATATTTGATATATGTATATATCAGCACTCTTTATCATATATTTGCAACTTTTCGGAAATTTAATATTGTTTCAAAGTAGAAAGTTTTTTCATAATTGAAAAAAATTAAGTTTGCCCTATATTACACCAGATACAAAATTAATTCAAATGGATAATAGACTTAAAATGTGAATGTTAAAACAATAATGCTACTAGAAGAAAATGTAAAATATTTTCATTACCTTACGGAGGCAAAGATTTCTGAAACATACACAAAATTACTAACCATAAAAGAAGTATGAATAATTGGACTTCTTTGGATTTGAGTTGCTAGCTTCTAGCTCAGTAGAATATTTTAAGTAACACTTTTCATAATTTACCTGATGATTTTAGATGTTCTAAACCAGCAAGTTTTCTCCTGACATTTCATCTGCTATATTCTTAAAACTTAGATCAACATCCAGAATTTATTCTTAAGGATTATTAAACATTATTTAAGGTGAGCCACCTTTCTTTTTTTGCATTTACCTAAGGCTGTTTACTCTCAGAATCTTTGACTGGCTTGAGAGACTAGAAAAGAGAAAGTTTTGTTTTCCAGCCCACCTATTCTAGCATCCTAATAAAAGACACAAGAAAAAATAAGAAAAATGATGCAGATGGTGGATTATTGACTATGTCACCTCTGGTCTTGTATGCATAAGTGACTATTCATAAAGCAAGACACAGACAATGATAACACCCCCTACAATGACTCAATACCTTTCCTGCCTATAACCCCCAGAGCAGGTGCTCATAGCTCTGATAACCCTGAAAAACTCTGGCTCTCATTTTAGGCTGGGCTCTGCTAGTTTTCTGATCTCACCAACTTTCATTCCTTCTCATGAGGAACTCTTCTATCCTATCATCTGTGGAACCCCGTCAGAGAGAGGAAAGGTAGATAATTTCATTTTCTTCTGTATCACTTAAATACAACTCAAGAAGCATTTCTAATATTTGGTTAATAGTAGCATTGCTGGATAAGCTAAATTCAGTGTAATTCAAATAACATGTGTTCCACTAAAATATAAGAAAATGAACTTAATCACTTCTTATTTGTTCACAGATATCTTGATTTCTATTTGCAAAGGTTTTTGGCATCTGCTAATCAGTTTTTTATGACTGACCAGAAAGTCATAATTTATGTCATGGTAGATAACTACACCAAGATGCCTTGGATACCTCTGAATCCCCTCCGTACATTCAAAGTTTTTGTAATTAAGAAAGAGAAAAGATGGCAAGATATCAGTATGATGCGTATGAAGACCATTGGTGAACACATTGTCAGTCACATCCAATATGAAGTTGACTTCCTCTTCTGTATGGACGTGGACCAGATATTTACAACAAAATATGGATTAGAGACTCTGGGAGAGTCAGTAGCTCAGTTACATTCTTATTGGTATCGGGCAATTCCTATGATGTTACCTTATGAGAGAAATCAGTTATCAGAAGCTTATATACCTATGGGTAAGGGGGATTTTTATTACCATGCTGCTGTTTTTGGTGGCACTCCCATTCAGGTTCTCAATATTGCCAGAGAATGCACCCAAGGGATCTTGAATGACAAGAAAAATAACATTGAAGCAGTGTGGCATGATGAAAGCCACTTAAACAAGTATTTCTTTCTGCATAAACCCACTAAAATCTTATCACCAGAATATTGCTGGGATTTCAGAGTTACAAGGAATTCTGATATCAGAACTGTCAAACTTTCTTGGGATTTTAAGAGTTATGAACATTTCAGAGTGACGGCTTAATTTTATAGCTCTTCCTTCACATTTCTGAATTTAAGAGCATTGTTTTGTCTTATTCTTTAGAAAATTGTCTTATTCCTTAAAATTAGCACTTGACAAATTTTAGCACTAAAAAATAACTAACAAAATGGTAAGCCCACCACACAGCAAACTCATACTTATCTTCACATTCATTTTGAACCATATAACATGGGATTCAGTAGTTGCAGAATGAGTTTGTTGAAATCATATGTAGATGAGCATGTTGAGGAATTGTATCTGTTAGATCACATTGAATAAAATAGATTCTGTCACAAGAAAATTAAATCTTAAATATTTTAATAGATCCAAGTAGATATACATTTTTCATATTGGTTAAGGAAAGGAGTTGTCTAGAGGTGTGGGGAAAGGCAGATCCCTGCAACTACACTAAAATGCCCTGCATGTAAAACTTTGAGAACATTAAAGCTGCCACCAGCTGGGCAGTTAGTTAGGAATCTTTGAGTCATTAAAAAATAACTATATGCTTTAAAACTACAAAGTTGTTTGTTGTAAAAACTTATGAAAATAAAAGGGAAAACTGAAATCCTCCCTTATACTTTATCTTTGAAAACCTATTCTCCATATAACTTTTATATGCATTTATATATCTACCACATGAATATATATATACACATATATATACTCACACATGTCCTTATATAATATTTTATACAAATTGACTTATATCACACACACATATACACATGCACACAGACATTTTATGAATAGCTGAGGTCTAGCTAGGAAAACAGAAACTACTATTCTAGGTATTTCAAACAGTGGGAATTTAATACAGGAAATTGGATATATAAGTGATAAAATAGCTGAGAGGAGATACAAGAAAGAATCAGACAATCCATAATTTTTTTTAAATGAAGACAACAACACCCTGAGGGCTGTAGAGAAAATGTCCAGAAAAAGCTAGAACCTAGCAGAAGTTACCTGGTATGAGCTAGGACAACAGAGAGGGACTTCCTGCTACTGCTAGATATGACACCCAGGGTGTGTGTGGGTGGGGGCGGGCAGAGATCCAGGCTGTCCTTTTTCCTACCCTGCTTTTTTGTCAATAATTTTCATTGCCCGATGTTATGCAACAGTCAGAGAACAAGTCTCTGCCACATTGAGCAGAGCACAGGAAAAATGAAAAAATAGATTCAGAAATAAACAGGCAAATGGCTACTACAGTCCACCCATTTTGCTACAAAGCACGCATTCTCACCCTTCTACCCATACCTAACTCTCATAAAACCAGACGTGAGGGCGATCTGGCTGTGACATTTGTCCCCCCATCGATCACCAGGGTTGATTTGGCTAACTCTCAAAAAATGATGCCATATTTCCACCTAGTATAATTCAATTAACTTTTGTACAAATGGACAATCACTCTCTTCTCAAAATCTCAAAAATACAGAACATAAAGTACCACCTGACAATATCTCTCACCATGTCCAGGAACCCCAAATAATATGAGGTCCTCTCCACCAGAACTGTACGTGGCTCCTCACAATTTTGTGAACTCTGATCTAAAGTAATAAAAGAATGTAAATCTAAATAACAGAGAGAGATTCTCCAAAGATATTGAATTTATTTGGGAGTGTACCAGGGATTGACAAATCTAGGCTATGCAGGCTATGGGGAGCATAAGTATATCCAATGAGGTTGAAGAAGGGATACTTTTAAAGGCAAAAGGAAAAAGTATAGCAATTTGTTTTGAAACAAAGAGAACATCGGTTAGAGGAGCTTATCTCAGGAGTTAATGCTAATTCATTACTGGAGGTAGTGTGTCAGGCAAGTGTTCTTGTGTATACCGTTAGCTGTCCTTGGGACTCATGTGGCAAGCTATAATTAGGAAGTCCTTGGCAAAAGTTCTTGTTATAGGCATATGTATGTAAGAGCCTTTGAGAGAGTCTTTGTAATAGTTCTTATCAAGGGCATGTGTGCATGAGGGTCCTTCTTTCTCAGCACCATTGGCTTTATTTATTTTTCATTAGGTTTTGACACAAGTGACTCCATTTTTATTCTGACAGCTTTCACAAGAACAACTTCTCATTAAAAAAATAAGAGTAGGAAAAAGGAAAAATAAACAATTGGTTAACATATATTATTTAGATACAAATTATGTAATATATTTATATTTATAATATTTAGAAAAGAAGAATATGCATACCTGCTGCATTCCTCATTTCTTTAACTGGTCAAAGGGTCAAATTAATATTTATTCATATTTACCACTTCTTCCTTTCACCACCCATTCCATGTTCCTTACTTTCTGCTAGAAGCTCAGATAGACAGGGTTTTTCACCTGGTAGGATCGTATAAACCTTTTCCCTATAGAATCTTCAACTTTGGTGGGTCTCTCTCTATTGGATTGCCACAGTTTTCCCTTAACAAGGGCTGTTGGATAAGGTAGTATTAAGAGGCTCTCAGGGAACACCTTGAGTTGTAAATATAGCCCCCATTCCATTACTGTATAGTAGCAATCAACTTTCTTCTTGATAATTGTGATGAGTCTCTCAATCCAGTAAAGAGAACTCCTTCTCTGGCTGCTGATTCAACATGAGAATGCAAAATGATCAGGAGAAGTCTCAAATTCCAATTCAAAAGGATTATAACTGTGTTTACATGTAGGAATATTCCTTCCTTATACACTAGGACCTTCAAACCCAGTGAGCCCAACCCAAGCAGAGACAGAAACAAAAATTATTCCAGTGACTATTTGGTGTAATTTTAAAAGAAGGGCCACATGACCTCTACCTTGTGCATTCTGGTTATTGGGAAGCCAATATGACATAGTGGCCACTATTTTAAGGCATATCCCACATCCTTTAGGACAACTCCAACCTCACAGAGTGTTGTCTCACAGCTGGCATTATAACTAAATCTTCAGCAGGCCATTTCATAAAGTAAATTGCTTCCAGTCAAGAGTTGCATGGTCAGACCAATGTACTTCATGGACATGAGCCTATTGTTACATTTACTTTACAATAAAATGTATCTCCTTGTCAGAGTCAATGGATAAAGCAATTCTGTAAGACCATAAATAGTGGCCCTGGCAGAAGAACTATAAGAAAGGAAGATAAAAAAAAAAAAAGAAAGAAAGAAAAAAGAAAAAAAAAAGAAAGGAAGGTAAATCTGTACCCAGGATATATTTGTTTAGTGACAAATTTCTTCATTTATCTGATGGAAAAATCCAAGGTAACCATATGCCATCAGTAGCCAGATGGGCCCTTAGAAGAAAGATACCATATAACCATATATGAGGTAATCAGGTGGCCTCTGCTGTTGGTAGGCTGGGCATTTACCAGTAGAGATAGCCAGATCATCGCTGATGAGAGGAAGTCTATCTTACTGAGTATGGGCACAGCATCCATCCCTGTACCAAGGCCACTTTGTACAAAGGCCCGTTGAGCAAGTCTTTCTGTGGTGGCTACAGAAAGAGGCTAAATGAACTCACAGAATAGATTATCACATCTACTTGATTACTGAGGACCTCTTCTTCTGAGATTGCTCTTTGGTGAGCATTTTCATGGGGCATATATATTCTTATACTCTGTGCCTATTTCAAAAGCCCATAAAGGAAGGACCTCAGACTGTTTTGTCACCAATCTTACAATCTGTCTGAATCCAATCTAATATAAACCACTTTTATTTCATAATGGATTGCAGATGCATACATCCAAGCTTTCAGTTTGTTGGATCAGAGAGCATTAAGTTCATAGTGGATAGGGGAGATCATAGCTCAAGTAAATTTCTCACATATTAAGCATTTCATCCTCTACCCATGCAAAATGCTTTACCCAGTGTCTGTATTTGCCATTTGAATCTACTAAGTGGCACAGACTAGTGGCACAGTCTTCTCTGCAGACTAGACTTAATATAGAGCTTTCTTTTGTCCTGGGCCTCACTCAAAACTTAGTTTCTTGAACCAGCCCGGCACTGCTTGCTGTGGAAACATGGAATTTTGCTCTGCAAAGTGAGCAATACTACAGCTTCTCCATAATGTAGCTCCAGCAGACTGCCCACTGCTGCTCCAGTAGATGCAAACTACCTGAGATTTTGATGAATTCACTCAAGATAATAATGACATTACGTTGAAAAGCATAGCAGGGTATTGCAACTAGAGTGTGCAGAGTCCAGATCTGGCAGCCAACAACTGTGGTCATGGCACCAGCAAAAATCTTGACGGGGAAGGAGGCCTATGAGCAAATAAGGGAGAGACTGAAGAATGAAGTCACTCAGATGAAGGAGCAAGTACCTGGTTTCACACCAGGCCTGGCAATTTTACAGGCGACAGAGATGATTCCAATCTTTATATAAATGTGGAGCTGAAGGCTGCTGAAGAGGTTGAGATCAAAGCCACTCACATTAAATTACCAAGAACAGCCACAGAATCACAGAATGAAGATTCTACTGTACATGGATTCATACTGCAGCTACCTTTAGATTCAGAAAATGCTATTAACACTGAAGCAGTGATCAATGCTATTGCACCTGAAAACGATGTGGATGGATTGACTAGTATCAGAGCTGGGAAACTCGCTAGAGGCGATCTAAATGACTGTTTCATTCCTTGTACACCTAAAGGATGCTTGGAACTCATCAAAGAGACAGGGGTGCAGATCGCCAGAAAGCATAGCGTGGTGGTTGGGCGCAGTACAATGGTGGGAGCCCCAGTGCATAACTTGCTTCTGTGGAACAATGCCACAGTGACCATCTGCCACTCCAAGACTGCCAATCTGTGCGAGGAGGTAAATAAAGGTAACATCCTGGTGGTTGCAACTGGTCAGCCTGAAATGGTGAAAAGGAGAGTGGATCAAACCTGGAGCAACAGTCATTGACTGTGGGATCAATTATGTCCCAAATGATACAAAATCAAATGGGAGGATTGTGGGTGATGTGGCATACAATGAGGCCAAAGAGCAGGTGGGCTTCATCACTCCTGTTGCCGGCGGTGTCGGGCCCATGACAGTGGCAATGCTGATGCAGAGCACGGTAGAGAGTGCAAGGCCCAGGAGTGGCAGACTCTGCCCTTGGAGGTGGGGTGAAGCAGAAAAGCCACTTTCTCTGTGTGGCTGGTGTGAATCTGTAGGACTTTGGTGCTCAAAAATAGTCAGTGGCCTATTGATTTGGCCCATCAGAGTGGCTTCGGTCATCTAATAAGAACATAATGCCAGGGCTTGCTCTCTGGGTCTGGGTGGCCACCAGCATTGGGATTTGTGGACAGGTAAGGAAAAACCTGGCCAGAGAGCTCAGCAATTGCACCAATTGACCCCTCTCATCAGAAGCATCCTTCCAAGTGTAA